TTCCGTATATATATATATCGTTGAATAATCGTTAACTGTATTTGTATAACATACTAGTACTTAATTGACATCAAATTGATATCTAATACCAGTAGTTGGAATAATTTTAATTAATTGCAAACTGACATTTGAAACCTTATTTTAAACTTTGTTATCTATAATTCTAGGATTTAATTCCTGTAACATTTATCCAATGAAAGTCTCTATCTTTTTCTTTTCCTTATACAGCAGTTTTGCAACAACAGCTACTAAACAGTCTATAGTAAAAAAAAATACCGCTAAAAGTCTACAGAATTTAAGCGTCAATATCTTGTCGATTACAGTATGTCTCGAAGCATTTTGAATACCAGCATTCAATGTAGAACGACCCCTTGTATATAGTATAGTCCGTTGTTATGTAGAGATTTCACAGCTAGGTCTATTTTCACAAAAAAACTGAAATTATTAATTAAGAATTGAATATCTGTAAGCCTACAATGACATTTGTTGACAAATCCTAAGTCAACCCATGAAAGGAAAATCTACAACTTGATAAATCATTGTCCTAGTTATTCAATCCATTTATTATATTATCTCTATTAATGAGTATATTATCATAATAATAATATTTTGAAAGTCAAATGTTGCGTATTTTTATAAGCTTAGTTAGCCAAAATTAAAAAGGTTCTTCTATATATTTAATAGCTTTAATTGAATATGAAACTATTCTGCCAACATATACTGGTATTGTGTATATAATTTACTCTAAATTTCCTCTCAGTGTTTTTAAGGCTCACATACAGCTTTTAGTATTCTGAAACATTTGGTTTTAATCCTTGAATTTTCAAATAATAAATGTTTGCTTCATAACCTAAAATGTAGAATGAAAGGTTTGTTGCATGTTTATCTCTTTGCAAAAAACATTGTATCATAATGCATAATTTTAAAAAAAATACTAATTATATCCTTTCTTTTTAGAAAAACACATGTATTTCTATGGTTAAGGGCCATTTTCGATATGTTTAGTATCAATTAAAAAAATTAGCTGTTAAAAAAAGGATATTTTTTTTTATTGAATACCCCCTGGTAACTTTTATCATTTCTAATGCAATTTCGATCAGTTTCAAGCTGTTATTTATTTTTTTATTCAACATGTACGGAAAAGTGTACAGAACGGCAAATATAACTCTTGTGTGTTTGATATTGCAGGAAATAACACTGGCTTAAAATGTTATGTGAATTTCTAAGAGGCGGATATTGTTTGGGTTTAGTTTGTTGCACTCTATAAAAAATTACTTTTTAAAAGCCCAGATAGGTTTTTATTTATATGCTGCTGGCCGAAAAGTCATTTTATATATAAACCTTATGTAGGCACAGAATACCTTGAGATACATATGTGATGTAATTTATTAGTATCGAATTCATGCACACGTATCTGAGAACATATTTTTCACCATATGATTGTATTTTACTTTCAAACATAATAACCCTTTTATCAAATATTTATGAAGTAAATAATACTATAATAACTGAACAGAAAAATCTTTCTAGATCATACATTTAAAGAGCCAATTCTCTAACTGAACATGAAACCATTAAACAAAAATGGGATATGTTGATACAAAAATAAGGGAAGTTTACGATAGAAAAGTTGAAGTCGTTACGTTTAACATACGACTTGATGTTAGGTTGCCATTAAAACGCCTTTAAGAAAGATATATTAGTGAAACAGCTGTATCAGGTTTTGTGATATCCTTTTTTAAAGCTTACTTGGATATTTCAAGCCGAGATATGAGTGGAAATAACTATTGTAATTGATAATATCTAAATGTCGAGACAAAGGCCATAGTAAGATTCTCCTTTTTTCTCCTGTGTAAGTTTTATATCTTACAATTTCATTCATATATTAATTACAAGAAACTGAGAAAGTTTCTGCTAATAACAGAAGCAATTGTTGTTACTCATTGAAATGTCGAATTTCAACAGATTGTTAGAAGACCTGGTCTTCAAAATCATGATAGATATTGTCAGTCTGAAACCCAAGAATCTTTTAATATCAATTTAAGAATGAACAAAACAATTTAATGACGAATGACAACTGAAGGTATTAGTAAGTAAATTAAAGAGTTACATTTTTATTTTTAAAAAAAGGATGCTAACGATGTAAAAAATCCTGGATTTTAGTTTAATGTAAGGGAATTGTTTAATATAGAGTAGAAAAGTCATAGGATTTTATAATTTTTAAATTTTCCAAAAGTTCTTTGAAATGTTAAGGAGTTCACATTGAAATTACATATTATACTGGAAGTTTCTCCTTCACTGTTATTATTAATTTAGTGAGGAGTAAAGAAAAAGACTCGATTGAATATTTATTGGAATCCGCTATTTTTGTTTGTAAGAATTTAACTTAAATTTCGGAATCCAATATAGTTATGGTTATTTAAATTCATTTGGTTGCTCGGAATAGCAATAATATTTAAGGAATGAATTTAATAGCTACCCATTTTATACGGTATAAACTGGGTTGGGGCAGTTTACGTTTTATAAACTGGGAAGCGGTTTATAAAAAAGCGTAAACTGTTCCAACCCAGTTTATACCGTATAAAATGGGTAGCTATTAAATCCATTGCTTATAATTTAATTTTCATTTATTTGATGTAAGAAAAAAAGATGATTGTTCTAACAAAATGACTTCAATTTGTACAAAATTTGAATGTAACGTCAGGCGGATTGATGCGTTTTTGACGCAAGTCATTGTGACGTAGGCAACCCATTTTATACGATATAAAGTAAATTTTTTATCCAATCAAATACAGCGTTACAACCAGAATTAAATTATTCAGAATTAACAATACGTTTTGAATAGTTTCCTGCTTGAAAATAAAGCTCTTGGTAAAAGTTAGATCACCACTAATAGAACTGATTCCCAGTTATTCAAAAATACAATTAAATTAATGAGCCTTACATGTATAAACACAATCAATGCTGTACCTGCTTTGTCAGCCGGGACCAGTACAAGATTACTTATCCTGCAACCTTATTCTTTTTTAACTTCTGAATCTACCACAGGAGAGTAGGTTTTCATATCGACTAATTCGATATTTTAATTACATCTGCTTTATTTTAAAAGTCAATTTTCTGAAGAAGTTTAGTCTTCCTTCTCATGATTGGTCCATCGCCTGGCATTATCTTTTATAAATTCATAATATTTGTGAAATTAAAGATCGCGGTTCCTTAAAATTTTGCCTTTAAAAAATTCAAGAAAGTGATACTATTAAGTCCCCATAATTAAATATACATGTATTTTAAGTCAAAAGAAATACAGTGTCCAGCAGGACTATTATAAACGAGGGCTGTTCTATAAATAATGTCCCGAGCTCTGTGACATACAACAGAGAAATAATATGACATTAAACTTGATTTTCTCTAGTGATTGAATCACACTGGATAGCCCTCGCATAGTTGTAGGATGTAGAAAAACATGAACACGATGGATGATGCTCAGTTTTGATGTAATTAGGAAGGTTGGACACAAAAATCGACGTGTATTTGTTGTAAAAACAGAGTTTGGTCTTGAATCCTTCATCATTTGTCTTATCTTTGGAATTGTAATTTGGATGACATTTCGGGACGAGAAGACTTCTTTTTATATGATACGCCCAATAATCTATATCACATACCCTCTATATCCCCTCTCCCCCTTCGTTCTGGAAACAGTGGCATGAGTTCCATGCACACGAATCCTTCGTACTGTCCAAATAAAAATGGTTTGTACAATTCCGATGTCAGGTAAAAAGATGTTGAACACCCGAGACACACCCATTCTTAATATTCGAATTTGAAGTTATACTGAAGGGAAAAAGAAACGCACGGTAAACTTTTGAGGTGAATGAATTTATTTTTCTTTCAATTTTTTTTCAGTATTCCTATCTAACTTTTAAAATCATCTTTCAAAAAGATATAACAAAAATTTCATTTGATTTTGTCTAATAATTCTTGAGTTATTGAAGCTCATATGACGATACCCCCCCCCCCCCCAAAAGTGAAAATCGAAAACACTCATTATCTTCAATGTCTCTCCTGCAAATCTGTCATGAGCGTTATTTCTCCTTTGCATGGAATTCATCAGAGTGATTATCTTTTAAACCCTGGCTATATTGGGCATCGGTAACCACGCCAAAAATTAGTCATGCAACGCGCGCATGCGCGAGTGAGAGGAACACAACAGTAAGTTGACTTGCTCAAAAAAAAAAAATGCAGAATTTTCTTCTTTTATTTTTTGTGTGAATGTAATGACTAGAATAGTCTACTGTATAAAAGGCGGTTTTTGTGGTAGTAGGATTGCGATTTAAGAGGTGGCAGGACGAATAACTCGCTCGTAACGTGGCTCTGTTTCGCGTTAACGTCATCGTCACGGTTGATTGAAAACCATTCCAGGTCCTCTCTGACAACGGGTAACAAGTTTTATGGGGGGAAATTTACAAGAAACTGCTTAGTTACCCATCGTTGCCTTTTTCAATAATTGGGCAACTCGAAAATCAGACCCCACTGAACTTTCCGTAAACTGTACCAAGATTGCAAGGAATTCATATCGTCTCTAAATATTGAAAAATAATGTGTATACCTCAGGTGCATCAAATGGTGCAACAAGATTTGTTGACAAACTCGTCGTTATCAAAATTGCACGTGTTTTGGGCTTTTTACCGTTTTCCCTACGTGACGTCATACATTTTACGGTTGAGTAATTCTGAACACTGATTTTGGTGCATAGTAACTAAATTTCTCATCTGACCAATTTTCGTAATTATCGGTCATGCGGTCAAAAAGTTTTCGAATATTTTGCTACCCTGCGTTTCTTTTTCCTTTCAATATTTTTATAATATTTTCTTTAGTCAACTTTTTACATAATTAGTTTTACATCTTTTGTTAAATTGAACTTTTCTTCTGTTTCTCTGAATGTTAGTATAAACTTGTAAACTTCACAAATAAATAAAGACCACAGCGGAGAGGTTCAATTCAATTTATTGAAACCTATACACATCATAACATAAGCGTTCAGTGAGCTGGACGTCATCAATGTAAAGGTTTCCTGCACTGTTTTTCGTTGTTCCATGGATAACCTATAAAAAGACTCTTTAATTACATATTTCATTACACAATTAAAAAAGCTGTTCGAGATTCCCTTTTAATGTATATCTCATGCTCACAAAAGTTATAAAAAAATCCTATTCAAATTGTGCAACAGAATATTTAAGTGCTAAATCGTGACTGATATTTTAAAAATCTTATGAAAAAATTAAAAGTATTGTGTCATTCGAAAATCATTAAAATACTTACGAATCGACCGGTTCTGTTAAAGTTTGGAATTGTGAAGCGGACGAGGCTCCATAGACCGTAACCCTTTCCTGGTTTGGTAATGTTTCGATAATATTCGCGACTACTTCCCCCAAGTGTAAAGATAGACAAGGCCGAGCCAGGGTTCTCCATCTTGTAGTACAGGTTGACGCAGGTGTTAGTTCCTATGAGAAGATATGGAATAAAATAACATTATTGTCAGTCGCTTTGATATTATATATATTTTCAGATATTGGAGGAAATCCAACCAGCTATTCTCAAGAAAATGCTGTTTTAGTTTTTCTTTTGTCGATTTCTGTAAATATAAATGAAAAAATATAGAGATTTCATCTATAACTTTGTTGGTTATTATTTCAATATTTTATAACATTAAACTTTGAATAGAAATTTAAAGCACTAGGCTTTAAAAAAAATCGAATGGAGGGGTTTTAACAAAATGAATAAAATATTTCAAATATTTCCCAAAAAAGTGAAATACTTTGGAACCTTATTTTATCGGATATTGAGACTATTATTAGAAACAAATACATGCAACAAAAATCAATTATACTTCATAGGTGTAGAGATCCTCCTTAATACAAATCATCACATAAAAATAGATCAAGAATAACAAGACGACTAATGCTTATCACTAAAATCGTTTGTAAAAATTCGTGAATTCTAGCGTAACTCTGATATCCATATTTCCGAACGTCTGCAAAATGACTAAAAATTCAATATTCCATAACGTTGGAATACTCATCCATCTTAAAGCATAATAAATCTGTGAGAGTGAAGGAATAAGATTACCATACTAAATGCTACTCACCATTATTGCCTATATTTGTCGTTGAAAGTGAGAATTCCTCATTACTTTTTATTCCACCAATCCAACTCTTACCATCATGACCCAATTCCTTTATTTAAAGAAGAAACAACAACATTCTCCGTTAGGTAATTCATAACTTGGGTATGAATGTGAATCAAAATGAAATATTTAGAAAAGCCGATTTTGAAACTGGTATTTGGCAAGAAACGATCAAGTCAAAGTGTACAAAGTTATCATACAGGCACGTCTCGTAGATTCCCAAGTGCCAGCATCTCCTTCACGTTAAAAAAATCATATCGTAGAACATGAACCTTTTCTGTAAAGGAAATTAAATCATTAGAAAAAACAAAACAAAACAAAACATTTTTTATTCTTGTGAAAATTAATTTCGTTTAGGACTACATATTGAAGGAAAGAAACACATGGTTACATAAAATGTGCGAATTTTTTAACCACTTTACAATTATGAAAACTAGTCAGATGAGGATCTTGGAAACTGTTTACTAAAATACTCAACAATGAAATGCATGACGTCATAGTGTTAAAAAAGCCAAACAAGCAAATTGATAACAAGCTTGTTAATACACCTCCTTGTACCATTTCATGGACTTGGCGTATACATATTGTTTTTTTTTCAGACGATATGAATATCTGGCGGAAATTTGGAGGGGTATGGCTTTCATTGTCAAAGTAAAGATAAAGGCAATATCAGACTGAAATTTGTAGGATAATACAAGTATTGTAAGACCTTGTTTTACGGTTCTGTCTCCTATCAATATCAGTTTAAAGACAGGTTATTGAGACAAAAGGGTTATATTATGGAAATCATTTGGTGCATATAAAATAACTAAAATAAGAAATGGACGTGTGAACCCTTTATTTAAAAAGAAAAAAAAAAATGAAAAGTGGAGGGGTAACCCCGAAAGTGCCTGTGAAATATGAGTAACATTTATATAAAATAAATCAGTGCGCATCAATCAAGATGCATAAAAAAAGTTATGTACTATACAGACCTTCACATCTGTCCCCTGTGTACTCCCAAGAACATTTACAATGTAAGCCGGAGATCAACGAACAATTAAAACCATTCATACAATAGTTACTACACGGGTCTGCCTGTCTGCTTACTGTTTACAGAGAAAAAAAATTATCAAGTTATTCTTGAATTTTTTTTGTGATAAAAAAATCTAATGAGTTGAATTGAAAAATAGAAATTTCTGAAGAACAAATGATACTCACATGCACTTGCGTTGGCTCCTTGAGCTAAAAACAAAGCAATGGTGACAAATACCACACAATATAACTGACACATTGTTATCCTTGTTTTACCAGCGTCCGTCAAGTAATGATGCTTGGAACCCCTCTCGTTATATATAGGAACTGCCTGCCCACCGCCATGATTTAATTTTACGATAACAAAGCGATTTAATTATAGATAAATGATCTATAATATATATTTTTATTATATCTTCTGTCTTTATCATTTTTTGTATTGATTGACCAGTTACATAGACAGAATCTATATTCTTACCCAGCCTCTCCCATTTATGACAGGAGTTTAATGTGCTTTATGGTAAATAAACTATTTCTTTCTAGATACATGTATTTTGATATTCTTTTTTTTTGTATAACCCTGGAAATAAATATTAAAACAAATTATTTAAATTAGTACCTACAACTATTTCTTTCTAAATTTTATGTAAATTGAGTATTGTACAAATCGATAGACGTTGCTTAGTATGATTATTATTTTTTTTTAAAATCTGAGAGAAGGTTTTAAAACATTTTTTTTAAAAAAATGGTTACATTATAATATTGGTAGATTCTTTCTACGACAGCATTGTTCTTTTCTTTTTTGATATTTGGTTTCAACACAAATGCCCATGCATTCAACAGTTAAGAAAATGCATGCCTCTACTGAAAAGGGGGATGGGCAGGGTCATTATTGTTATCTAACAATGTAAATATAATAATTTACAAAATCAGAAAGGTTGGGGTTGAGGGTATGGACCCCTGATATACATACAGCGCCCTTCTGAAGTCCCGCATGTTCACACAAGAAATGATTTTCTCTTTAGAGAAGTGGACAGGCTTTCGCCTACATCCACTTCTCTTCGCAAGTCTCCATGTTTTGATTCTGAAAAACCACAGACACCTGACGTTACCTAACCTATTTTCTTAAATTAAAAAAATAACTTTTACCTTAGCTTATAATGTATTATTACATATGGGGTTATTTTTTGCATAAGAAAAATAAGTAACGTCAGGTGCCGGTGTGGAAAACGTCTAAAATGCAGAACTGGTGACGGGTTTACCCTGAAACTAACATCTTGTCTAAAACATGTCTGATTATATACGCAACAGACGTGTTTAAACAATTATAAAATATATAAACTCAACAAGCTTGTTACTGTCTTCAATTTCCTCAAACAAAAGTTCAGCAATCACATTTTGTTACCGTGGTTGGAAAAATAAAAGATAAATCATTTTCCTGGTTAACTCAGAATAATCATATCATCCTTTTTCATGTAATCTCTATATGGTAAATTATTAATCAATTTAAAAAAAAAAAATAAAATCTGAATTTTTCCAAAAAAAAAAAAAAAAAAAAAATTAGCCATTTTCTTAAATTTTGTAAAATTAAAATTTTATCCATATAAAGATATACAAAAAGAAAAATTTAAAACAAAAATGTATGAATTTTTTCTTTGCCAAATGAATGTTGACAGCTTAGCCGAGCATATTGGTTAAAGATAAACAGAAACCAGTTAAATCTGCTGGTTAATTTGTGGTTAAATTGTTGACCCCCCAGCCTCCTTAAGTGTATTTAATTAAAATTTCATTGTATATTTATGTTTATAAAAAGAATGAATGATACAAAAACCTAATAAATTATTGCATTAATGGTTGACATTTTCAACCACTAATGCTAAATCGCGGGTTAATGAAAGAATTATATCATAACGGATGAGTATGTCAACTATTAATGCAGTGATTTATGACATTAAGAACCCTCTCTACACTGCACACCAAAGAGTTCTGATTCTAGGGTATTTTTCTGGAGTTAGAGTGATCTGCCCTTAGATCTAAATTCTAAAAAATAGAAATTTACACAATATTATTACTCAAATTGTAATCCAAATATCAAAAGACCAAAATAAATGAATCTGAAGGTGTTATTTACATGTATTTTCTCTACTGAAGTAATTAACAGTGAATTCCTATTCAATCTGTGTTGTCTTTGAACATTTTGTAAACTCATACATTGAAAATTAAATAAATAAGCTCAATATTAACTCCTTTATACAATATATTTTTCTCAATGTCCAAAAATAAAATTGCACTTGTGTAGAGAGGGTCCTTAAGCGTTGCATTGCAACGCTTAAAAGAATATTTGTATCATTAAGCGGCGTTATAATATGACTCGTCATGACTTAGCTATTCTTGACCAGAATGTTTTTCCAAGACGATTTCTATAAATTCGTATGTAAAACTTCCTCTGATCTCTTTTGTCCCTTCCAACTCCTTGGAGTCATAATTTCAAGAATTCTTATTTATCTCCCCTTGAAAGAGGACGTGAGACTTCCTGTGAATAATTTTTAATCCACCAAACCCAGAGACACTTTCTGGAGATTGGTTGAAATTTACCCAGTTGTTCTTGAGAAGAAGTACGTGTAAATCATGTGCAGAGTTTACAGACGACAGACGGACGCTGGACTCGCCTTGATCAGAAAAGCTCACATGAACCTTCGACTCAGGTGAGCTAAAAATCATGTACATGTAGTTTTGTCATTCAATGGCTCTAAATATGTGAAAGTGCATAACTATGTTTTCGGGGCATTTTCAGTTCGTTAGTATCAAACTAGTATCAAGCTGTTGCAATATAATTATTTTTATTTAATAACCTTTATCATGTCTAACGATTTTTGTATTTTTTAAAGCAAAAAGTACACGGAAAGTGCACAAATCTGCAATTATTTTTGTCATGTTTAGAAAATCTTAAAGTTACTGTAAAACAACCCCGCAAATATGAAACCTATCAAAATAAGCAAATAGAAAGAAAAAATACATATCAAAACAACAGCACCAAATTTAAAACACTAAAGCACATAGTTCTTTCCCCAAAAGGAGAACAACCGACGGCCAAGGTCTACATATATGAAAAGAAGGCTTAACTCTAAGGTTCACTCACCTTCCAAAACAAAATAAAACATCCAGAAAAGTTTTGATATATATGATTTAAAGACATTCATTGTGATTGAAAGCAGCATAGAAGGGACAAGATAAGACAGCCTATTAACATATGGTAGCAATGAACTGAATAAAAAATATATATATTCGAAGATCAGATGTATTTGATCTGGCTCTTTTCTTAAAATTATACATGTAGGTCTGGGGAATTTGGGCAGCCCCATTCCCCAAAGGGTCAAAGGCTGCTCCCCAATAGGTGGTTTAGGGAGCAACTCCTTCCCTTTTGGAATATGAATTTCCTGAATTTGAGATCCCTCTACGAAGACAAAAAATGTTCTGAGTTTTATTCACTAAAATTGATTGCATTTCAGCTCTACTCAATTAATAAATAACTTAACTGTTTTATTAAATGCACATAAAAATAATAGCCAGTTTATGAATGTTAAAATTAATCAAAAAATTTACAAAAACAAATATTAGAAAAGTTCACGTTTAATATGACGCCATAGCAAAAGTATTCCTTTTCATATGGCTCGATGGTAAATTATAACAAAATACTATTTTAAAAGTATAGCAAAAACTGACTTACTGTTTTCAATATTTTGTGAGTTGACCGATCTTATTACTGCCTGGGGGGGGGGGATCGATAGGTATAGGTTTCTTACATACTCAAGGGCGATATATACAGATGTCAAGTATTGCATTAAAAAGAAAATTGGGTTTTGATGTTTTTGCGTGTTTTGAAGTGAACGTTTTATTTTCAGCCAAATATTTTCAATTATCTTAATGTCCGGGGACTGTGCCGGCCATGTGATGGAAGGAATTTGCTTATATTCACACAACGCCTGTGCACGGGTGCGTTGTATCTTGAAATAGGTAAGTTTTATTGGGAAAATGCCTTTCTATAACTGGCCACAAATGTTTAGTATTTATATACTTTTGAGCAGTTATGTTGCCATTAAAAAAACCCCATCGTAAAATATACCATAACTGCAACTCGACATTTACGGGGAGGGCACATGCCTTAGGTACAGACTCATTTGCTCTTCTCTGACATAAACCCGGTGATTATTATTAATTTCTTCTAGAAAATAAGACATTTTGCCAATATTGTTCCACTGTCAGTCGTCGTTTACCCAAACACCAAGATAATCGCTTTTTCCGATTAACTTCACGAAAAACCATCCGTTTTCTCACAACTTTTCTTTGATATCCTTTTTTTCTAAGAAATCTCTGCACTGTACATTTACTTACAGTTTCTGTAGGACATTTTCCTTCGTTTAAATCCAACGTAACATTATTTAGGGTCCTGTATCTGTTGCTTTTGACCGTCCGCATAATCCAGTTTTCATCTGTGTGACAACTTTCGAGGTCTTCCCGTTCGAGGGTTAAAATTGAATAAAAAAAAAATTACAAAAATAATATTCAACACACGAACTATTTCAAGTTTTGTGATACTTTTCAAAGTTACGATTAGATTTTTAGTTTCAGCACTCAGCTCAGATTGTTATCATGGTTAAATGTGTTTACATTCACTATGAAGTGCAGATCGATAATTTAATATAAAATTACGTCATTTCCTACATAAAGATTACTCCGTAAAAAAATAAACAGCTAACTCTTATTTTCCATAGAGTTATCTCTCTTTTCCTACTCGAGACGCGAAAGTGAGCCGTCGCCATTTTTAAAAATCGCGAATACTTTTGCTAAGCGTTTACGGCGAGCGACTCTACTGGGTTGTTATCAAGGATGTTTTAGCGACATGGCGAAATATTTACTAGTATTTCGTACACTTAAAATTATATTTTGTACACAAAAAGGGAGCCTCTTTTCTCCATCAGCATCCGTCAGTGAGTGTTGTTTGGTCCATTTTCTCGAATTAAGTATTTCTTGCAATAAAATCAAATGTATTACATACTCCAATACGTATATATGTGTCCTCCTTTTATGATGAATTGTTGCCATTGAGGAACGATGTACAAAAAAGCTTACATAACTAGGTGGTTTTTATAAAAACGATGTGAAAAATTTTATATTGTCATTATGACCTGCATAATCGTGATGCCTTTAAAAATCCACCAGGCATTTAATCCTCTTTGGCCATCGAATAAAAGCGTGTGGTCATTAGTGTTTTGTTAAACTGTATGGCGAAAAAAACCTTTGTCCGTCCGTAATATAGGGTAAAAACCGAGAGGAGAGCGATGCACGACAAAGATGGCAGGTCAATTCTTCTTTCTTATTCTTCTTTTGGATTTCTTAATTCCAGGTAATCTGTTCTCAATGTTTTTTATTTCTCGTCTGAGTGTAAATTTATTGTTTTTCCAAGTCTATCAGTTTATTTATTTACTTTTATTCTTCACATCTTTCATTAATTTGGTATAAGAGTTATATATTAATATTCAACAGTTTTAGGATCCTCGATACCTGCGATTCCACTCCCAGAATTCCCAGAATTCCCTACAAATGATTCCCCCCATACATGTAATCATTCGGCGATAAATCAGTGTGAATCGACAAAAGCAGGCGTCCACTATGAAAAATCCATCGATCCCTGCAAGTATAGTGTTATTTACTTTTTTGAAAGGAAACTTAAAGATTTTTTTTTTATTAAAAGATGTTAACTACCTTTTCGCTATCATTTAGACGTTTGTGTAAACCAAACGTCTGGATGTTACAGACTTACTTTTTCGCTCTCTTTTTCGTAAATTATTATTTTTACAAGTCACTTGAATCTATAATTTTCTTAGTTTTTATGAATATTGGGGAAACTGCCTGAAATCCTTGAAGCAAAACTGTACAGGTGATTTTTATTATGAAGAGCGAGTTTACAGTCAGCAATTTGATGGAGAATATTATTGCCCTTGGCTTTTTCCAGGTACTTAAAAATTTTACAAGTTTTTAAATATGTCTTTTAGAAATACAATTGTAGCAAATAATGATAGGACAAGAAGTAAGTTTCAGAATGTTTTCAAAACAAAACATGTTAGATGTTTGCCAAAGAAATTTTATTTAAAACATTATTTTGTTGCATGTTTCATTGACAGTTTTTTTTAAATCAGGGTTCAATACACAACAGTGCCACATTTATTTTATTATTATTATTTTTTTTACATGTATGTGAAAATAAACTCGTTAATTTGTAAGATCTTTCCTCGGAAGAGGCACGGGAAGAAAAATGTGAATATAATTCTGTTTTCAATTTAATTTGCAACTCTACGTTTCTGAAAAATAATGGAGCTGTCAAATATTTAAAGAGTGACGTCACTCTTTTTGACCGCGCTCCATTATTTTTCAGAAATGTGTTTTATTAGAGGTAATTCGAATACGAATTACTATCGGTAAGTAAAACGCAAAAAAAATTCGTCTTTATCCTTATGTCATTTGTAAATTTTGAATTACAGGTGATCAACCGGCCCCTGGTTGTGATAAGAGGCGCATGTTTCAATGTAAAATAAAAACGCCAGAACAATGGAAGAACAGGGATAAGTGTCCGTGAGTTAACGTCATCTAAATACTCGTTTATAATGAAAAAGAACATAGTCGAGGTGGTGATTGGTATATATTTTTTGACTTTTTTTCATTGAAATTAATGCAAATAATAAATTTCTAGAATATAAAGAAATTGTAAACCTTCTTTGATGCTCAAAATTCTACCCTTCTGAAACCAGCCTTATTATTCTATACAAATATTTTTCACTTCAAATCCCATTTTTGTGAAAATATGAATAAAAAATGAAAAACTACGCGGTGAAAATTGTTCCTTTTACTCATTTAAACATAACTCAAGTTGTTATTTTCATATTTTTTGACAAAAGTTTGTTTGTATCATCTGTCCTTAACATAAATGGTAGGTGTTATGCTGAAATCATTAAATGGTGATTAAACATAAGTGGTTAGGTGGTGTTGACATCTTTTAAAGGTGGTGATTTAGCAGAAATGGTAAGGTTGGTGATTAGATCTTAAGAGTTGTTTTAACAGAAATGGTAAGGGTGGTGCTGACATCATTATGTGGTGATTTAATATAAATGGTAAGGTGGTGATGACATCATTAATTAAGTGGTGTTTTAACAGAAATGGTAAGGGGGTTCTGACATCATTATGTGGTGATTATACATAAATGGTAAGTGTGGTGCTGAAATCATTAGGTTGTGAATTTACATCATCACCTTTATATAATAGTTAAACATTAGAGGTTTGTGTGGTGCTTTGCTGACAAATATTAGATGGATAATTTACTTGGGTAAAGCGAGAGAAACTCCTACATGTTGCCTACAATGATGACATGAACGATTTTATGTAATTATACTATGATATATTTGACCTATTAATGATAATCTAATCTGTGTATTTCAGATTTCTCATTAAGCAAAGGGATTGCCTGGAATCTTTTCGAAATTCCTGTTCAGAGTATAACAGGTATAATTTACAGGTCCATGACTGGAGATACAGTGCCTACCTGGACTGTCCTTGGCTGTTAGGTATGTTATAGATTGAGTTATCAAGCACACGTACTCAGACTGGCAACAACTGTTAGGTATGTTATAGATTGAGTTATCAAACACTCGTACTCAGACTGGCAACAACTGTTAGGTATGTCCTAGATTAAGTAATCAAACACACGTACTCAGACTACAGGCAACAACTGTTAGGTATGTCATAGATTGAATTATCAAACACACGTACTCAAACTGGCAACAACTGTTAGGTATGTCATAGATTGAGTTATCAAACACACGTACTCAAACTGGCAACAACTGTTAGGTATGTCATAGATTGAATTATCAAACACACGTACTCAAACTGGCAACAACTGTTAGGTATGTCATAGATTGAGTTATCAAGAACACGTACTCAGACTGCAGGCAACAACTGTTAGGTATGTCATAGATTGAGTTATCAAACACACGTACTCAAACTGGCAACAACTGTTAGGTATGTCTTAGATTAAGTTATCAAACACACGTACTCAGACTGCAGGCAACAACTGTTAGGTATGTCATAGATTGAGTTATCAAACACTCGTACTCAAACTGGCAACAACTGTTAGGTATGTCATAGATTGAGTTATCAAACACACGTACTCAGACTGCAGGCAACAACTGTTAGGTATGTCATAGATTGAGTTATCAAACACACGTACTAAAACTGGCAACAACTGTTAGGTATTTCATAGATTGAGTTACATGTATCACACACACGGACTCAGACTGCCAACAACTGTTATGTACAAGGGTTGTCCCAAAATTCCGTAGACAAGCGTTGTTTGGTGGAACAACTGTCAGGTACATTTATGAAGTTATCAAACACACATACTTAAACCAACACTATCTAATAAATTCAATGACAAATATGGAGTAACTTCACAAATTATTCCAATTTTAAAAGACACATTTCATTGGCAATAACTGTTATGTATATCAGAGATACCCAAAAGTTGCAATTAAAATTTGGTATATTATATGTCAAAATCCTACGGAAAAGTAATTACTACCTCGTATTTAATTAATAGAAATGAAAATTCTTAATACTCTTCTATTAACTATATTTCCTCAAATTTTTGTATTTTTGCTTTGATAAATATGAATTTTATAACGTTTTATATACAAGCACTTTTTGAAAAACGTACTCAAACAGGCAACAACTGTTAGGACTATAATCAAGTGTTTTGATCCTGAATTCACTCTTACAGAAATGTAGGTATGTCATAAATGTTTGGTACTCAAACTGGCAACAACTGTTTTATGTTTAGTATTTAAACACACTAAAACGGTTTCAATTTTATATGTGAATAAAAGTATAAAAAACACACATACTAAGAAATGGCAACACCTGTTGTATTGTGCAACTCCATTGAGTTATCAAACAGACAAAAAGCCCGCAGAAATATAGGTTTTCTTAATTAAGCTATCAAACACATGTACATGCATATACTTTGGCAACAACTGTTAGGTATATCATAGTAATTGATATTTTACATTTATAACTATAACCGTTTCAATTAATCTAGAATTGAGTTATCAAACATTGAAATATTAGACTGGCAACAAATGTTGAAGGTTATTTTGTCATAGATTGAGTAATCAAACACTCCTACTTAGACTGGCAACAACTTTAAATGTTATTCATAAATGTTATCAAACAATATCAAACTAAAATTTAGGTAATTTATTAAGTTATCAAACACACGCTTTATCCAGACTGAAAAACTTTAGGTATGTTAATAGATTAAAAAGATATCGAACACACGTACTAAAACTGGCAACAACTGTTAGGTATGACTTAGATTAAGTTATCAAACACACGTACTCAGACTGCAGGCAACAACTGTTAGGTATGTCATAGATTGAGTTATCAAACACACGTACTAAAACTGGCAACAACTGTTAGGTATTTCATAGATTGAGTTACATGTATCACACACACGGACTCAGACTGCCAACAACTGTTATGTACGAGGGTTGTCCCAAAATTCCGTAGGCAAGCGTTGTTTGGTAGGAACCCTATGTCATACATTTATGAAACTTCGTAAATAGATTAAACCAACACTATCTAATAAATTCAATGACAAATATGGAGTAACTACACAAATTATTTCAATTTTAATAGACACATTTCATTGTCTGGTGTAGGAAGGCGGCGCAATACCCAAAAGTTGCAATTAAAATTTGGTATATTATATCTAAAATCCTACGGAAAAGTAATTACTACCTCGTATTTAATTAATAGAAATGAAAATTCTTAATACTCTTCTATTAACTATATTTCCTCAAATTTTTGTATTTTTGCTTTGATAAATATGAATTTTATAACGTTTTATATACATCGGGTTGAAATCCGACTTTTTGAAAAATGGCGGCTGCGTTGGCACAGGCGGCGCACTGGACTATAATCAAGTGTTTTGATCCTGAATTCACTCTTACAGAAATGTACCAGTCATAAATGTTTGGTAGACTAGGAAACTTTTTATCGTCCTTGGTATAAATGACTAAAACGGTTTCTCATTGTATATGTGAATAAAAGTAACTAAAAAGAAAAAGACCGGACTAAGAAATGGGCAAGAGTTCCATTGTGCAACTCCATTAGAGAAAACAGACTAAAAGCCCGTAGAAATATAACCTTTTCGAATAATTATTATTTCATACCTGTACATGCATATACTTTGTTAACATATTTTAATGTTTGATCATATCATAGTAATTAAGATATTTTACATTTATAACTATAACCGTTTCAATTAATTTAAGAATGTGATTCTGGTAATTGAAATATTTTCTCGAAAACTTTGAACCGTTGACATTTGCTTTTTGACGTTGCAGATTACTCCGAGTGGTAGAGAACAATATCACTTTTTGTATCACGAACCTGTGTATTTTCCTTTACTGGCAGCAGTTCATTAAATCTTGATACACCAAGGGGGTGGAGCTTCCAAACATACAATAACTTCCAATATCAGGAAGTTATTGTACAGAAAACTGTACAATAACTTCTTACCAGGTCTTAAGAAGCCCCACCTCCTTTTGAAAATGGAAAAACAATTTTAATAACATTTTTTTATTACTTCTTGTAACATTAATCAGTAAACTGAACTTTTTAACCCAAAAACTTTACATTTACAGTCATACTTTATTTTAGCAAGTCTCAATTCTTAAAAATTGAAAGAAATATTACAATTATGAAAGTGTTGTCCATTTGTTATATCGGAACCAAAAACTCGGGGGGTTTTCTTTAGATGGCCTTCATTTTCACTTTCTATGTCGGACTCCTCGCGCTTTCTTTTCTCTCGCGACTGGGGCACTCCGGGATCGAGTACTTCAGACACCTTTCTGGAAATTTCGTCACAAGGTTTTTTATATTTACGGACTGCTTTCTCAGATCGATGCCCTGTTCTCCTCATTATTTCTTGCTCGTCCACCCCTGCCATAAATAATTGAGTGGCACACGTGCGTTTTCCAGAATGGTTACTGTATTGTCCAGACAGTCCAGCTTTTGCGCAGATCGTTTTCATCATGGTCTTGAGCTTGTTTACACCTACAACCTGGTTTCCGTATTTCGGCGGATGTCCCTGCAGCGGACGTCGATAAAATGGTCCCTCGTTACCAAGGCCAGCCAAATAAGTCTTGTAAAAGTCGACGATGCAACGTTCACCTAAATTGAATGATTAATATAAATAGTAATAAATAAGATGAGGTGCATATGGGATATGTTATTCATAAATATTTCCGAGTAGTCATGCAGTCATATAATTCTGAAATTAAAATTAGATTATATACTGAAATCGTATCTTACCAGGTGGACTATAATGTCGAATCTGCTTGTTTGTCAGCTGCATTTGGGCCAACCCACCCTTGTAAGTCTTGCTGGCACGTCCAATGAATTCCACGTATTTTCCTGAGCTGTCCTCCCCAAGAACAAACTGACTACACTCAAGTTCGTGATGCTCGTTATGCCCCCTTAAACTAAAGAGTTTACAGTTATAGAAAAACATGGTATGTTGAAGACTTTCGGAACTGCCATCCCCAAATACAACTTTCTCCCACATGCTTTCCTCATCCTGTGGCATAATGGGCTCAGCTTGCTTAATCGCCGTTCCAAACCCGCGCTTCAGAAGGTCTTTCATTTTGCTGTCAAGAATTTTCCGGAATTCACTAAATCTTGGGTCATTATTGTCCAAAATGTTTTTGTCGAAAACGTTTTTATTTCTGAGGTGGCGCAATATCCCACACGATATAAGGTACAGAGATCGGGGAGGGTATTCAATGCCATCTTCTCTCCGAGTTTCCACAATAAAGCGCCCCAAGTAGAAATTCAACTGCTCTGCCGTCATTAAATGCAAGAGTGGTATTTCACCAACGGAATTACCATTACGTTTTTCTCGCCATTCCTCGAAAACCTTGAGCGCCCAGGTGGTATTTTTCTTGGTGTTAGCATTCTCGTTCGACGTAATCAATTTTGAAATTTCATCATCTGTCACCGGTTTTCCGAACCGTTCACCGTTATCATCACCAGGTTCCGATTTAACTGGTCGAGGCTTTGCATCGGAAATATCAGCTACTGGGTCCACAGTATCTAGGTTGAAAGACCCAAATTCGGTACCAATTTCACAGTCCATATTTTCGACACGATTTAAATTCAGCACTTCACATAGACCCTCGGATATGGCATTTTCTTCTTCAATTTCATCACATACCTGCGAGAGTTCGATATCTTCGTCGGTAACTCCACACATGTTAAAAAAGTCTAAATCTCCTAAATCGCCCAGGTTAATAGTTGACAAATGCAAATCGTCTAGGCCTAATACGTCCATCGTCCTCAGCTTAATCTACGTAAATGACTAAATCCGTAGAATATCACGAAGAATTAGCGGGAAATGACTACGGAATGTCCCGAGAGTCTATAGAACCATTAATATGCCGGTTGCAGCGCGGGAAATAATAACGAAATCTATCGAATGCTGCCGATACTTTCGCGCCTCTATAACGAAAACCCCCGATATTTTCGCGGGTTATTTTCCGGAATAAATTCTCATGCTGTTTCATGGAAAATGTTCGCCCTAATATTTCGAGCTTTCTAATTGGTTCATTGATACAAGTCAGTTGAATTACATTTTATCTCGTGAATCATGGATAATCAAGGGGGCGGAGACTCGTTTGTTTCGCAAACTCGTCACCGCCCCCTTGATTATCCATGATACACGTGATAAGATGTACTTTAACTATAACAAATGTTATTACTCGAAATGTTTTCAAACAAATATTATAAAATTTCGTAATTTATCTGCCAAGGACACGCTTTATCCACCCTGAAAATTTTATAAAGATACATTAATTTCTTAAAAAGATATGAGCTCAGTCTACGAAATTTTGGGACAATCCTCGTATGTCATAGATTAAGTTATGAAACACACGTACTCAGACTAGCAACAATTGTTAGGTATGTCATAGACTGAGTTATCAAACACACGTACTCAGACTGGCAACAACTGTTAGGTATGTCATAGATTGAGTTATCAAACACACTTACTCAGACTGGCAACAACTGTTAGGTATGTCATAGATTGAGTTATCAAACACTCGTACTTAGACTGGCAACAACTGTTAGGTATGTCATAGATAGAGTTATCAAACACTCGTACTCAGACTGGCAACAACTGTTAAGTATGTCATAGATTGAGTTATCAAACACTTGTACTCAGACTGGCAACAACTGTTAGGTATGTCATAGATAGAGTTATCAAACACGCGTACTCCAACTGGCAACAACTGTTAGGTATGTTATAGATTGAGTTATCAAACATTCGTACTCCAACTGGCAACACCTGTTAGGTATGTCATAGATTGAGTTATCAAACACGCGTACTCACTGGCAACAACTGTTAGGTATGTCTTAGATTGAGTTATCAAACACTCGTACTCAGACTGGCAACAACTGTTAGGTTTGTCATAGATTGAGTTATCTAACACGCGTACTCCAACTGGCAATAACTGTTAGGTATGTCTTAGATTGAGTTATCAAACACTCGTACTCAGACTGCAGGCAACAACTGTTAGGTATGTCATAGATTGAGTTATCAAACACACGAAAACTGGCAACAACTCTTAGGTATGTCATAGATTGAGTTATCAAACACACGTACTCAAACTGGCAACAACTGTTAGGTATGTCTTAGATGAAGTTATCAAACACACGTACTCAAACTGGCAACAACTGTTAGGTATGTCATAGATTGAGTTATCAAACACACGTACCAAAACTGGCAACAACTGCTAGGTATGTCACAGATTGCGTTATCAAGCACATGTACTCAGACTGGCAACAACTGTTAGGTATGTCTTAGATGAAGTTATCAAACACACGTACTCAAACTGGCAACAACTGTTAGGTATGTCTTAGATAAAGTTATCAAACACACGTACTCAAACTGGCAACAACTGTTAGGTATGTCACAGATTGCGTTATCAAGCACATGTACTCAGACTGGCAATAACTGTTATGTATATCAGAGATAGAGTTTTCAAGCACACGTACTCAGACTGTCAACAACTGTTAGGTATTCCTAGATTGAGTTATCAAACACACGTACTCAGACTGCAGGCAACAATTGTTAGGTATGTCATAGATTGAGATATCAAACACGCGTACTCCAACTGGCAACAACTGTTAGGTATGTCTTAGATTGAGTTATCAAACACTCGTACTCAGACTGGCAACAACTGTTAGGTTTGTCATAGATTGAGTTATCTAACACGCGTACTCCAACTGGCAATAACTGTTAGGTATGTCTTAGATTGAGTTATCAAACACTCGTACTCAGACTGGCAACAACTGTTAGGTATGTCATAGATTGAGTTATCAAACACACGTACTAAAACTGGCAACAACTGTTAGGTATGACTTAGATTAAGTTATCAAACACTCGTACTCAGACTGCAGGCAACAGCTCTTAGGTCTGTCATAGATTGAGTTATCAAACACACGTACTAAAACTGGCAACAACTGTTAGGTATGTCATAGATTGAGTTATCAAACACACGTACTCAGACTGCAGGCAACAACTGTCAGGTATGTCATAGATTGAGTTATGAAACACACGTACTAAAACTGGCAACAACTGTTAGGTATGTCATAGATTGAGTTATCAAACACACGTACTCAAACTGGCAACAACTGTTAGGTATGTCTTAGATGAAGTTATCAAACACACGTACTCAAACTGGCAACAACTGTTAGGTATGTCATAGATTGAGTTATCAAACACACGTACTAAAACTGGCAACAACTGTTAGGTATGTCACAGATTGCGTTATCAAGCACATGTACTCAGACTGGCAACAACTGTTAGGTATGTCTTAGATGAAGTTATCAAACACACGTACTCAAACTGGCAACAACTGTTAGGTATGTCTTAGATAAAGTTATCAAACACACGTACTCAAACTGGCAACAACTGTTAGGTATGTCACAGATTGCGTTATCAAGCACATGTACTCAGACTGGCAATAACTGTTATGTATATCAGAGATAGAGTTTTCAAGCACACGTACTCAGACTGTCAACAACTGTTAGGTATGTCATAGATTGAGTTATCAAACACACGTACTCAGACTGCAGGCAACAATTGTTAGGTATGTCATAGATTGAGTTATCAAACACGCGTACTCCAACTGGCAACAACTGTTAGGTATGTCTTAGATTGAGTTATCAAACACACGTACTCAAACTGGCAACAACTGTTAGGTTTGTCATAGATTGAGTTATCTAACACGCGTACTCCAACTGGCAATAACTGTTAAGTATGTCTTAGATTGAGTTATCAAACACTCGTACTCAGACTGGCAACAACTGTTAGGTATGTCATAGATTGAGTTATCAAACACACGTACTAAAACTGGCAACAACTGTTAGGTATGACTTAGATTAAGTTATCAAACACTCGTACTCAGACTGCAGGCAACAGCTCTTAGGTATGTCATAGATTGAGTTATCAAACACACGTACTAAAACTGGCAACAACTGTTAGGTATGTCATAGATTGAGTTATCAAACACACGTACTCAGACTGCAGGCAACAACTGTCAGGTATGTCATAGATTGAGTTATGAAACACATATAAAACTGGCAACAATATATATATATATCAAACACATATATATATATATATATATATATATATATATATATATCAAACACATATATATATATATATATATATATATATATGTCTTAGATGTTATCAAACACACATACTCAAACTGGCAACAACTGTTAGGTATGTCTTAGATAAAGTTATCAAACACACGTACTCAAACTGGCAACAACTGTTAGGTATGTCACAGATTGCGTTATCAAGCACATGTACTCAGACTGGCAATAACTGTTATGTATATCAGAGATAGAGTTTTCAAGCACACGTACTCAGACTGTCAACAACTGTTAGGTATTCCTAGATTGAGTTGTCAAGCACCTGTATTTAGACAGGATATAACTTTCATGTATGTCATTTTTCTCTACCTTTTTACTATTTTCCATGGATATTTACACTATGCAATCCAACACCCTGTCTATTTAAAAAATATATATTTGTCTCCCAACTGTACATGTGAATGTCGTATTATACGGGTTTCACTGTACATTCTTAGAGATGTGAGCGACATACTGTTACAAGTAACCCTTCTGTATTTTTCTCACATATGATATCGCAGTAGGAAATCTTATCAAAACTACAAAAAAATAACAAAAATGTGCATTTTACTTTTGAAATATTCAAAATGGCAACTAATTTTGAAAGATCCGAGTGTATGTAGTTTTTGCCCTGTCCATCTGTCTAGCTGTTTATCCACAAAACTTTTAACCTTTGCCATAACTTAAGCAGTTCAGAGGGGAGGGGCTATGGTTTTCATACTTCACGGGTGTATTCCTTGTGACAAGACCTTTTTCCAAATGACCTCGTGATCTTGATTTTGGAGTTTGTTAATTTGAATCACACATATATATAAGTGCTACATGTTGTTTTTTTTAAAGTCATAGGTGTAACTCTTTGTGATAAAACCTACCTTTAGATACCAACAATTTTAAAATTTTGACATTTTAACCTTAACCTTGGAGTTTGACTTGCATTTGAGAAACTTCATCCCTCGCCATAAGCTGCCATACGGGGGAAATAGTGTTTCACAAACAGATCTTTTTGTCTTTTACCGTAAAATTTATCCAACCTGATTATATATTATTTTGTTTTTTACATTGATATTGAATTTAGCTCTGACGATATATTTTTATTTTCATAGTACTGTTGTATCAGCTGTGATGATATATAATTTTTCTTTTAAAGGATGCAACGTGACACAGTATCAGTCCTGTTGGAATAAAATTGACTTTTCGAAAGTTGACGCCTATGATCCATCGTCTTTTAATGTTTTATGTAGGTGAGTATATCTACTACATTTGTTTTTTTTTCTCCACAAATTAAGAGTATCTTATTTCCGTTTTTGAATAATCTTCGAGCTTACTTTGAAATATTTCTACATAAAGATAAAAATCTTTGAGAGCCTGTAGCTCACAAGCAGTTTACTCTCACGGAATATGAATTTGAAGCCTTTCAATGAACGTAGGAAAATCCGTTAGTGCTCAATAACCCTCAGTTAAGGACTCAATTTTCAGCCCTTTACATGCATGCAGTGGTGTCTTCATATAAAGGAAATATCCTCTAGAGAGACGTTAAGCAAAAAAGAAAAAAGAAAAAAAGAAACAAAATGTTGATTTAAAAAAATACATGTGTAAAACCTTTATTCTTGATACAGCGACATCATGGATGATACGTTGCCATGCATCATTGACCAGACCAATCGCTGTGAGTACGAAGAGGAGTCATTACTTTACAAGAACCAATGGGAGTTCCAGATGATTGTCTACTCCTGTTACGGAACGCAAGGTAAATAACAGTTTGTATAAATAGAGAACCTTGTCTAGTTCGAACAAAACTGGTTTCATAGGAATTATCCGGATGAGCCATCAATTTAAACAAGTAAAGGACTAGGTTCACTATGCACAAAATGGCCCTGTAGGTATACCAATTTATGGACTAATATTCTATGTTTTATTTCAAACATCAAGATAAAGTAGAGATTTTGTGCTTTCATTTTCATTTTTTTTTTCGGAAAGTTCACTTACATGTACGTTTACGGTGTATTACGTATGTGCTAGATTTCAAAATACGCAAATGGGTCAGTTTCACTGTAAGAACACTGTAAGAAGCCCCTCTGAATTTAGCTCTACAATGATTTTTGTTTCTAGATCTCTAAAATACAGCAGAATCCATGTTTGAAACTTGTTAATACGATTTTTCTTTTCCTCTGACTCTTTTTCTTTTCAAAGTCAAGATAAATACGCCCTTTTAATGGCTATTTAACTCTTGATATAGGTATTGTTCATGACATCTTTACATTTATTTATATTTTTTATAGAGTGCAATCTTGTGAAATTAAACGAATGTGCCCTGGATAACTATTCTGAGAATGTCTGGTTAATGTCTATCCCTACACCAAGACAGGCTACAGCAATCTGTAGGTAAGGCCACACCAAGACAGGCTACAGCAATCTGTAGGTAAGGCCAAACAAAAACAGGTTCCAGCAATCTGTAGGTAAGGCCACACCAAGACAGGCTACAGCAATCTGTAGGAGTACTTTTTTTTTTTAAAAAAGAGTATTGAGTTCATTTGAACATGAACTCAGTGCATACACTATACATGTCATTAACAGATACAACTCAAAAGAACCAGAACAAAATATATAGTCAGCACAATGCTGTAAGTGACAAACTTATATTTTGTAAACAACATACATTAAAACACGCTTACGGTGAATATGTTTATAATGAATTGTAGGTTACATCGAAGTACAATGTATTTCTAATCTCGGTGATTTAAAAATGAAGGAGATGGAGATAACAAACAGTATTCAATATCAAAGTCCATAAAACAATACAAAATAGGAGCAGAGCAAACACGGACCTCCAAAACATCAGAGGTGGGATCTGGTGCTATGGAGGGGTGAGCATCCCCTGCCGACCAGTCACACCCGCCGTGTGCTCCTTGTCTTGATCGGGAAAAAACGGAAAATCGTGTATAATTAATGGTCTAGCAATTAGTATATGAAAAACGACTTTAAACGAGACTTCTATATTTTTGTTTCATCAACTTGTTTGTCAATAATTTACCTCGTTTTAGAAATTGTTCATACATAGAGCATGCTCTTGCGTATCAATCAACTGAAATATATATAATCTCCATATGCAGGCGATGAAGGTACTGCAGTATATCGCTGCATAAGTAAGGGAAGTTGACGATAGAAAAGTTAAAGTCATCACTTTTATCATGGAGCTTGGTTTTTAGATTACCATTAAAGTCTTTTTCAAGTAAAATATCCATATATGAAACAGAAACCCTGTGGTATCTTTTATCTCAAACTCACCAGAATATATTGTATCGGCATAAGAATGGAAATTACCATTGTTAATTGACAATACGTCATCGATATATCTAAATGTCGAGTTGAAAGCCACAGCAAGTGTCATCTTTTCATGCAAAAGATTTTGTACAAATCTGCTTCATATGAATACAAATAGGTCTGCAAATAACGGAGCGCAATTGGTACCCATGGGAATTCCAATAGATTGTTGGAAGACCTGGTCTCGAAATTCAGATAGATTTTGTCAATCAGAAACTCAAGTATTTTTTCCAAGTCAACTTCAGAGTACTTGTGTGTGCAAGTTTTTAACAAAGTAATTTTGCAAATGACCAATGACTAGGTACGTAAATTAAAAACTAAGAATACATTATAAATTTAATGGATATAACGAATTTAGTGACGCTTATTACTTAACAAAATCGCCCGTCCCTATTACTTTTGTTTTAAGCGTGTTTCACTGTATATTCAACATTTTTTTTCTTCAATTTTACTTGGTGTGTCGAACATTTTTTTTGTTTAAACAATACAGTATTGGAGCAGAACAAAATACCTGTACATTTGTCTCTTTCAGGAACTATAAACAATACATGAACTGTGTGAAGACATACAAAGAAGCCTGTGTGAAGTATAAACCCAATCTTGGGACAGTCGGCCATATTTCACTATCCGCCGTGGTCGACCGCATGGAAACACTGAACAAATATCTGTCTTTGTTGTGCGAAGAGAAATATACGGGTAAGTAGAGGGCATAGAAAGATCATACAATGTATAAAGAATTTTCTATTTTGGAATACCTTTTCCCCTGCTATGTAATTTTATCAGAATAACCTGAAGTGATGACTAGGTTAAAGGGTACATGTATGTATCGAGGTAACACTTTCAAATCCAATTTTATCCACAACAATGTATGAAGTAAAAGATATAGAAAAGCTGTATATAAGCGGGGAGATTAACAAAAAGAAATCAACAGTCATCGAAGACTGGTCTTGCCTGTCTGATATGTGCGATATTCGTACAATAGAGACAGACAACACCACTCTACAGACTTTGATGCTTTTTTGCAAGCAAAGCGTAGTTCTACAAAGTGTCCGACATGTATCTTTTGAAATTTACATACATTTCACATACTGAAAATTAATCGAGTTGTGTCGTGAATACTCGTCGAATAGGGATATTTCTGTATCCGCAATTTAAGACTTGGATCACTTGAAACTGTTTTTACAATATTAATTGTGTAATTTCATAATAAGTGCGTTCTTGCTATTTTTAGATGTAACGACATATGGCAAAGATTGTTTTGACACACCAGCGACCAGCTTTAATTTGTTTGCCTGTGAAAGTGAGAAAATACCCATGTTTAATTATGCTCCAGATGAACAGAGATGCATGTACGTATTTCGTGCAACGAATACTTGTTTTGTTTAATAAGGATTAAAACTTAGTGTATCTGGATTTTACTTATTGCACTATGTTCATCCACAATATACGTGGATTTAATTTAATGATAAATATTACATTTTCCATTCTTTCTGCAGAAATTAGCAGCAGGAACTCTGAAAAAAAATTCAGATGATAATTATGTTTATACGTTATAATTGACGTTAAAATATCCCTCATACGCAAATAAGAGGAGAGGAACCCTACACCATTTAGTATCAACATTCTATACTTTTCTCCTCAAGAGGAAACTTGCAAGTACACTGTATGCTCTATATTGGGCAAAGGTTGCAAAAGTAAAAAGATTATTTAAAAAAAACTAATAAAAAGTGAAATGAACATAAAAATCTATATAAAACACGCTTTTAGCTACTAGCTCTTACCCTTCAGATCCATCCAAAATCTAACAACTTGTATCGAGAACGCACTCAAGGAAACCCCAGCTTGTGTTGAGAAATCCATATCAACAGCTCAAGAGGTGGCTGTATCTTGGGAACAGTTCCAATTGTCTTTAAATCACGGGTTTAATTGTGATGGTTCTAAACCAGGTATATCTCTATGATATGTATCTTTACCTTTTTGTATCCTACAGTGTATTTCTTAAGTGTGAAACATTGACATATAATTTTTTTTTACTTTTTTAGTACGCCCAACGACAACAAGTCCAACTAAACCATCTAGACCCGTCACTACGGAGGACTTGGCAACCTTGCCAAATCAAGGCATCGAAGAAGGTGTCAACCAATCAAACCAAGGCACTAAAGAAGGTGTCAACCAATCAAACCAAGGCACCAAAGAAGGTGTCAACCAATCAAATCAAGACACTACAGAAGGTGTCAATCAATCAAATGATGTTTTACTAGGACATTGGATGCTTTATGTTTTGACATTGATCATTTGTGTATGTAATATGTTCAAAAACTAAATATTATAATCATCTCTCAAAGATCAATTCACAAAAAATACTTCTTTGTCTGTTCAATAAGTATAATAACAATTCGCAATTCATAAATGTATATACACTAACTTGAATATATTCTAAAATTGTATGTCGGTGCTTATCGTTTCACTAACATTCAGTGGAAATAAAACAAGAATATATATGAAAGTTATCATTATTATTACACGTGTTGGTTTGATTTGCTTAAATGTTCCTCTCGAAAATATAAATCACTCATGGAGGCGCCGCCACTTGTGAGTGGAGAGCTGGAAGTTTTGTCACATAGTCGACACTCAGAGCCAGTTAGCAGTGAGGGATCTTTTTCGTGCCAACACTTACTGCAACACGTGCCCTCGGTTTAAACTGTCTCATCCGAAGGATGAACTTCTTACTCCGGTCTGCGACTCTAGAGCAGACACTTTAACTTCTGCACAACGCAGTCTATTGCATTTGCAATTGTAGTCGAAAATGCAGTTTGATAGACAAGCATTGCTTTTAAAAGACATCAAAAATTAATTTTATTAGTTTTATAGGAAAAAGTTTGAAGAGATATATGTAAAACAAAGAGATAATTATTGTATTTCCAGATGTCGACATTTGGTACAGGTCCTATTTAGTAATGAAAAAAGTATATTATATGTACTTAAACGGTTAACATGGGTTTTTTTTATAATTTGCATGCATTTATATGAAGCTGGGATTTAAGAGTCTTTGATCAATAATCTTGAAAGTTAGTTAAATGCTTCTAAATAATGAATTGAAGACAATTACACTAAAAACAATCAAATAAAAATAATACTACATAAAAATTTACAAACATCTTTTTTATTATATTAATTTATGATAAAGAGGTCATGTACATAAAAATGCATTTACATGGTGTTATTATTCAAACTCATTTGATATGTAACAACATGCTCAAAGTATGATAGTATTTTTTACCAAGACATATTACTGACAAATAAGTGGACTTGCATGGAATGGAAAAGTCGGCGATTCAATTCCATTTTGTTGTCATTATAATGACCTTGTGTGCATAAACAACATATTTCTGGGTCATATTTTGATCGACATACATTTCCTACTTATTTATGGTCTTTATTTTTCCTGATTATTCGTCAACCTTGTCAATGCATAAGGTTCATTGTGGTCGTGACCCGTCAACAGGATAAGCTGACTTCTCCTTGGCACTTCAGTCAGTGCAAATGTTTTGTATGTTCTGATCACAAATTTGTAATTTCAGGAACAGATGATACAAACAAACTTTTGTAATAAAAATTGAAACTAACAAAAATTCTGTAATACGAGGGGTTAAAAAAAAAGTTTGTCATGTTTCTGTATTGCTAAACCACATGTTGTTTTTTTTTTAATATTTCATTCAAAGTCTCACAGAAATAAGATTTGAAGTGAAAAAAATATTTGTAAAGATTATTAAGGGTGGCTGCAGAAAGGTAGAATTTCGAACATTATAGAAGGTTTACATTTTTTAAAATTTGGGAAATTTATTAATTAGTTGCATCATTTACAACAAAAATAAGCCCAGAAATTTATACCAATCCAGGCATTCATTTTTTGTATGCGTCATCTATGCTTAAAAATAATTTTTGAGATCAATAATCATTGTTTACACGTATGATTTAGAATGCTGCAAATTTTGAATTAATTTTTGTAGCATTTGTTAAAAAAAATATTTTAATTACTTTGACCTATTTCTATCTTGTTTTCTGAGAGAGACAAACGTGCATGAAAATAAAATAAAATTTATTTATAATAACTCTTAAATAAGAGGTTACATATGCGTTTCCTGTTTCCAAGTTCGATTGTTTTTGCTTTTGTTTAACTTTTCTTCTCTCCTTATTTCTGTGACCTGCTTATAAAATCAATACGAATGATCCAACTAAATACTTGTATAATGACATTTACCTGCATATATTTAAAATGAAAGTTTAGGGGAATTTCTTACAATATACTAAAAATAGTACTGCATGGTTTTTAACTTCCTGAACGAGAACAAGGTGAAGGACGAGTTGGAATTGTCAACAAACAAAGTTGGATAGCTATGTGCATGTCGTCTCCATAAAACCATGTCGGTTAAATGTGAAGCATTTTTCAAGAAAGGGGACATTCTCAAGAATGTGTTGCTTATCTCTTTTATATTTAATCTGATTTTATTGTGTGTTTTTGTAACTTTACTTGCCATAAGAAATAACATTCACCGTAAAAGTCAAAAGGAAGATGATTATTCTCGTGCCTGGAATAATGGCTTCGAGGATTTGAATAATGGGATAAAGTTAACAGAAGACAGCGTATGTGTGTCATGTGATGAACTTGGAAACAGCATAGTAGCCAAAGAGACACTTTATCAATCCATTTTGAAAACGAAATGTGGGGCAAAATTTTGCTGTTACAAAGACAAAGATTTAAAAACGCTTATATCAATGGTAAGTCCACATCGCATTAGTTTTTATTGATTTATTTTACAAAGAAAAGGCTGAATAGCTGTTAGAATTACTAACGTTTGTTTTCAATTTCTTCATGTTAGATTTTGGAACACCCTGATCATCAACCTGCAGTAGGTGAGGAACAAAATCTGCAAAGCATTGAGCAATAACGCCCTGTATAACTCCTGGTACCGGTATAAGTTAAATGTTTCTTTTGAGTATGTTTTAATTTAATTATGAACATATATTTCTATGTTTCAGATGAAATGACAAATATTCAACAAAATTTCCACTGGTGGTCCAATCGATCAAATGCAGCTCACTTGTTTCTGAGTCACGCCAGTTCCCCACCTAAATGGACAGTTAGCAATATTTCAGGTGTCTCCTTTACCAACTTACCCATCACAGAGAACCGGATTAAAATTCAGAAAGAGGGCATTTACTATATATACGCAGCCTTCTCTTTAAATCTCAGTAAGTGTGGACCTGAAATTCCTCAAATGTATCATAACATAACAAGTCAACATCCCTGGCTAAAAAACACAGGACCAGAGCTTCACTTCATGAATAAATATGGAGGATTTGCAAATGCTTGGAAAACTCGCCATACCAGTTTCTTGAGTGGAATTCTTCATTTAAGGCGTGGATTTGAAGTTGCAACTCAGATATCAACAACTTCATTTCTAGACCAATCAAAGTATTCGAACTTTTTTGGACTGTTTGAATTAAATGTTTAGTTGTTTTTCTCTATCTATCCAAGGTTTATATAAGTTTTGTTGTTTTTGTTTACAAGTATATACATGTTAAATGTGACTATTTGTCAATGGATAATAAAACTGAAAATATATAAGTTTTGATATTTGTGTACAAGATAGTCTGCTATTCTCTTGTAAATAAATCTTTATGTTGCTTCATGTCGGTATTAGGCCTTGACAAGACCTACTTCTACTTGTTGCTCTAAACAGGGAAGAAAAATAAATGTGACGCCTTTGTGGAAAACCCTTTTTGATAATTTTTACAAAGAAGTTCCCCTTTTGAAAATAATGTAAAATAATTCTAATATCCGCTTTACGCAGAATTCACTTGCTTAGGTAATCTATACGATAGAACACCCCATCTCTATAGAATTTGATCAATGAAAAATGGGCTCCTTTTTGATAAAGAATAGATATTTTAATTCTAATAAAATCTTTGGTAAAAAAATGAACAGCTAGAATTTTAAAGATTTAGCTTCATTTTATGAAATAATGAAAAATCTTGAAGTTTTATTTTAATAATTCTGCTGCAAACAAACCTCATAAGTTTCTTTTTTTTTATGAAAACAAGTTTAAATTCTTTTTAAAATCAAAATTAATATAAGCGTCAATAAACTGGTGGAAATTAAATAATAAATGAGGTAGTATAAAAAGTTATAAAATCTGCTTAAAATCCTTTCAAATCATTTCAGCTTTCATTTTGAAAGAACGAGTGTACCGAGTTTTTATTCTTATCCTTGGCCTAGTTGCTAATTTTAAATTTCAGTATAAAACTATGTAGGTCATGTTTGTAAACAAAAGAGCAAAAATGGAAGTTCAAAAACTTTGCAAGAATACCACAGAGCATAGTGAAAATAAGGACTGTGTTACATATTCTGTAGGAGGAGGCTTAAAACAGGGAATATTTAACCTAAATGTGAAAAGAAATACACACAGAATTAAACTTTTGATTTGCGTATTTTCTCTTTGTGTATCGCTGACGCTACTTTTGTGTATAACTTACATTTTAATCGAGATTTTTGATGCTGAAGCAGCTGATGCAAACAGACAGACCACGTGTCGTGAATGTGAGATTCTGACCAGCTGTGGTGAGGAGGAGGGGGTAACAGAATATTCAACAAGGGACGCATGCTGTAGAAGATGCACCATCTTTGCGTACACTTATCTTATTTCTTTGGTAAAAATATAGAAAATTTGAAATGTCTTTTTGCTATTTATCGATTTGTCCGAATGGTTTCTATTACAATCTATAAATAAAAATGAAAAATTATATTCAAAAGATGAGTTGTGTTTGAGGTTATTTCTCACATGAAACTTTTCTTAGCATGCTGTGTCATATTTTTAGATCACTTCTCAGAAGCTGATGTACAATTCTTCAAGTGGACACTATGAAAGATTACTTATTCAAGCATCCCCAAATGCAGAATTAAGAGCAGGTAAAACCGAGATAAAATAAAAAAAAATAATGTTGCATGATACGATGTAAAGATTGACATATCCGTCTGCTTATGGAAAACACACTTTAAGATTGTTAGCTGCAAAATCAAAAATAAACACTGATAGAAAGAAACTCCCAAAATATGAGGATTTTTTTTAATTCATACATAATTTTTTTTTCATAAAATCATCTCATTCAATTAAGCACATTCTGTTTTCTTCAAACTGTTCATTAATTCCTTCTTTAATTTCTTTTGTACAATCATTACACCGGAAACTTCCTTTGCAGACTGTGGTACCAGAATTGAAATACGGAATTTAAAAATAGCGCTAATACAATTGTCGTAGCATGTTCAACAATTTTTTTAAAAAAATGATAAGGATGAATAACCAGATTTTATTGAATACATGAAATGTGTCGATATATAATTGCTTCTTAATCAAGTCGCTTAGTTTTTAAAGAAATTAAAAAAAAAAAACCATTAATTTGAATTAATTTTCCATAAAGCAATTACTAGTACTGTTACTTTTCATTGGACACCTTGCTTCCGTCCGGATTAGCAGAGCGCCGCTAAATGTAATTAAACATTAGTTTAATAAATATATTAAGTTTAATATACCATTTGTTAAAAAATGAATCTTTACAGAGGATCATTTAAGATGGGTGGTGGACATTTCCATTCCATCAACAGAGTTCCAGACAGAAATGGGACAAAACAGCATAGTGTTTGAAGTACCAGAATCTGGATGGTATAGCGTCGAAAGTGTTTTCCAGATGAAATCCAAAACGAAGAACAGCAACTTGAATTTAAGACATTCAATAATGCAAGTAAAAAACAAAAATGAAGGCAACATTTCACGAGTTTTGTTACAAAATAACATAAACTTAACGGAAGAGGAGATGGCATATCAATCCACACACCTGTCAGCGCTGTTTTGGTTGGACATAGAAAGTTTGGTGTATCCTTTGCATTCCAATTTGAATTTGTTATACAACGCAAAGTCTTGTGACCGATTTACTATGTATTTTGTGCATGATTGATTGTTTTAATCAGTTTCATTTGTATCGTTATATAATACATCTTGTTTTATGCATGTATATTTCTAGGTTGTTGTTATATATAAATAAAGCCATATCTTTGGGAAAAAATAGAGAACGTGTACATTATATATACTGATGAAATAAATTCTGTTGAACTTGTATCTATGTATGTAATGATAGAGTCTAGGAATTGATATTCAATCATATTTTTTACGATGCCGATACGAAAAACACACTTCATGTATACAGAACTGCTACAGCCAATTCAAAATCACATTTAAAAAAATCTATTTCTAGTGCAATTGAATTTAAATGCAAAAATTCTATTCTTAAAAGACAACGTTATAGAAAATATTTAATTACATATTATTAAAAATGTCAAGAGGGATATGGAGATAATGAACAGTATTCAATATCAAAGTCCATAAAACACAAAATAGGAGCAGAGCAAACACTGACCTCTGAAACATCAGAGGTGGGATCAGGTGCCATGGAGGAGTGAGCATCCCCTGCTGACCGGTCACACCCGCCATGTGCTCGTTGTCATGATCAGGAAATAACGGAAAAATCCGTCGTCAACTCCGTGTATAAATAACGGACTAACAATTAGTATGAAAAATGTCAGTCAGCATTTGTCTCAATGATAAATTGTATTTGCTGACAAGGTCATTGTATCGACCATAGAATTAACGAAATGACGACTTTAAACGAGATTGTTGATATTCTTGTTTCATTAACTTGCTTGTTAATAATTTACCTCGTTTTTGAAATTGTTCATACGTAGTGCATGCTCTTGCGTATCGAATCAACTGAGATATATACACCGTATGCAGGCGATGAAGGTATATTGCTGCATAAGTAAGGAAAGTTGACGATAGAAAAGTTAAAGTCATCACGTTTATCATATAGCTTGGTTGTTAGATTACCATTAACGTCTTTTCAAGTAAAATATCCAGGTATGAAACCGAAGTGTCGGAAGCTGTGGTATCTTTTATATTATCTCAAGCTCACCAGGATATATCGTATCGACGTAGGAATGGAAATGACCATTGTTAATGCTGACAACGGAGCGCAATTGGTACCCCTGGGAATTCCAATATATTGTTGGAATACCTGGTCTCCAAAAGCCACATAGATATTGTCAATCAGAAACTCAAGCATCTCTTTAATGTCAACTTCAGAGTACTTGTGTGCAATCAGAATGTGTTTTAACAAAATAATTTTGCAAATGACCCACGACCAGGTAATTCAATTTACGAGTTCTAATTTTATTGAAAAAACAGCTGTAATTGATATCAAAAAGCCTGGACTTTAATTTATCGTAGGGAATGGTTGTGTATAAAGTTGAAAAGTCGTAAGTTTTTAAGCTGTTGATTTTGGTAAATGAATAATCAAACAACTGATTTTGAAGCACATAATGTTGTTAAATATTACTTATTCCAAAGTTTTTTCTTACACTTCGTTAAATCCATACTTTATTAAAATGTAGTAGTAAAATATCAATTAAAAGCAAACATTACAAGAAAACATTGTCAGCAAATTTTAGAACTTATATTTATCCGCCTCCTAACTTTACACAATAAAAAGCTTACTTTGGATGTAAGGACGGGCTGTGGAAGAAAAAAGAGCATAACCCTTAATTCCCATACTAACACCCAATAAAAGCCCTCTATATTTATTTATTGTTTTTAGTTATAATTGTACAAATAATCATTTAAAGTAGGATTTATAGATGAAAAAGTGTATAATCGACGTCATTAACATTATATTGGTAACTGTCAATGCTCAAGAAATCTGTACTTGTTTTATGTTTTGTGGTGTTTACTGACTGACAAATGGCAATGATTTTCTTAAGACGTAAAAGAAATATTATTCAATGGATGTAAATAATGTGATGATATAAATTAGATCCTAATAAAGTAGTACAAATTAAGTTTGATTTTAGGCAGTTTATATTACACTAAAGTAAATTATCAAATTTTACCTTCATGCACAATGGCATACACTTGATTTATCTCTTAATCTTTTCTGCAAGTCAACTTCTTTTCCGTTTGATATTATGCAACGTTTATAAATTGTTTGATAACATTTGCATCTTGAAAAAATCTTCCTTGAGTTATCAATAAATATCTGACTATAAAGTCTGCTGAAACCCTATCACATAACATCTATGTAAAGCACGCATTTTATAATGGATTTCCCAGAGATTTTCAAGACAAACGAAAGCACAGTGTGAAATGTAACTTCTACCCAAAATTTTTGTAGATGTGATGCTACAGATCCGCTTTTCTTCATGAAAAATAGTGTTGTCAGATTGATGTCCAGAGAATTATACCAAGAACATTACTTATATGAATTCGAAATTTTCATGTGAGAATAAAGAGATGTATATAAAAAAAAATATATACAACAAATAACCCGACAGATAGGTTTTGAAACCAGTACTTCAATTATTAGTTTTAAAAATATGCACTTAACTTTTTTCATTTAATTGTTACGCATGTAATACACTTTTGTAAGCAATCTGATACAAGATGAGTAGAATTTGATTTTAAAAAAAAATATATTAATATAAGGCCTTCACAATTATCAAAGTCTTTGAATCTCCCAAAAATATAAGAATCCTTAAATTAAATATTCTACTAAATTTGTGAATTCGCGCATTTTTGAAGTAAGAGTATTCAAAGAAAGAAGCGAACTGTACATCCTGCATGGCACAGGCGAAAAATGAATAAAGAATCATATTGAGATTAAGACAATGATTTATTTTAATACAAGAGTTGAGAAATTGTATTTTTGAATATATTTTTCTTTAGTTTGTTATGAAATTAGTCGAGATATACCAATCAATTCTTTGAAAGATTTTTAATTCTTAAAGTCAATATAAAAATTATACATAGTCATAATACGTCACCAATCTAGTATCGATGTATCATTGGACTTTAAATAATAAAAAGTGACCAGTCATAAGTGGGATTTATTGTTAATTTTATCCTTGTATTCAAATTGGTAGCAGGGAGTTATGAGTCTTAAAACAGGAAGTTTATTTCCAACGAAAACTAATTTTTAAATGCCCAACTATGAACATTGCTCCTTAAAACGTCATAACCTAAGCTTTTGATATTCAATTTTCTAGTTCGATGGGTTAAAAATAAAGCCTGGAAAACCCCGTCAATTGATCTTTTTTCCTTACATGATTTAAAATAATATTATCAAAACATTTCGAAACAGCTAACGTTAACTGTCAACTAATGAGTGAAGATGAATCGAGAGCCAGGCCATTTTGTATATGACCGAGTTTCGCCAAGATCCGAGGACGATCAGATTAGAGATGAAACCGCACTACAAATTCAGCCTCTTAGAACAGAAAGTCCAAGAACATGCCGACCCATTTATCATGTCATTTTCTTGTCGATTTCAATAACAACCAACGTTTTATTATTGTTCCTCGTACACAAGATATATTTTACCAACCTCGCAGACCAAGGCCCTGCAAAAGAATTGGATGATGACTGTTCTATAATACACAGAAGGGGAGATACCAATAAGATACACGTCTGTCTGCATCATCCAGCTGAAAGCGAAAGTCAAGTCTCATCGAAAACTGCATTATATTGTCTACGTGGTCACGAAAGTACAATTTTTCTTCTAAAATTGGTAAGAAATAAAAAAAAAAAAGATTTGAACAAGATTCACCATGTAAGATTTCTCTTTGTTTAATTGAAGTTTGAGATGATTTTTGATATTTTTACAGATGCTTGATCAAAAGAAAAAGACGCCGTCGTCTCTTTTCGGACTATATGAAATATCCTTTAAACAAGGTAATCTAATACCTTCCAAATAATCGGATTTCTGTTGATAAAATGGCAAATACTTGTTTTTCATTTTTAAAAAATGATTAGTTGATGATACTTTAATTAATAGTAAATGAAAATAGTAAATGATAATTAATATATCAGTAAGCAGGGGTCTCTAATTGCTACATGTATTTGATTTTGTGTAATTTACACTTTTGTCGACAGAGATAAGAGGCGATTTCATGTATTATAATACATAAAAATACCAAATGTGTAACATATTTCAGAGGAGAATAAAATCCAGATGAAGTCTACATTAAAGAGGGTCCCGATGAGGTCTCTAATTCCAGCATCTGCAAATAGAATACACCTGTCAAAGGGAGGGCTGTACAATGTATTTGGCAGCATGTGTTTTTCTGCGAAAGACATCAGAGAAAAAGTTGAAAATGTGAACATAAAATTAGAAAAAATTAATATAGGTATCAAAGAAACCATAATTAATAAAAATGTAACTGTTCATTGGAATCCCAATTCTTATGTTGATATAAATTTTATGATTAGTATTTGGCTACGAAATGAGACGGATTTATTTTTATTTATGAATCATCCAAACCGCATTTATAACTTGCCAGAATGTAATTCAATAGGGATTTACAAATCAACGTAAATGTTATCGGTATTTTTATCTTGCTGTTAAAAAGCATAGTGTTTTATCTCTTTATTTAGATTCATGGTCAAGTAGTTGAATTAGCAAACTCGAAAGATCCTTCTTAAAGTATTTTAAATATTGTCCATTAAGAAAAAGCCATCATGGTTTAACAAAGAAATAGTTGCATGACATACTTGTTACATGTTAAAAAATGATAAAGTTATGTAAATACATTGCCATTTTGTAAAAGAATATTACATCGATAGCAAAACATAATATTTCAGTTTTTTGTTTGTAAAGCCGAACATATTGATTGATCGCTTTATGAAAGCGAAAGTAAATGTAGTTCTGTTGAATTTCTTAACAATGTTTGGTATGTGCAGGTGCATCAGAGTTTAAATGACGTGTATTTTTTCAAAGGTATAAACAATCTATAATTATAATTATTTCCTATTGATTGGAACGGAATTCAACCATTGGTCAATGTGACTTAGATACTGCTTAATATATGAACATCTCATTGTTTACAATTATATAATTCTTGGAACGTGACCATTTGAAATGAAAATAGGCTAGATGTGAATTTCCAACCCTGATCGAAACCGAAAGTAAAATGTTCACCTGAGATTAGAGAGCTGCAGAGAAAAAATTAAAATGGAGATAGAGGAGGGAGAAACTTCGAGTTGGTTAGGAAATGGTTCAAAGCGAAATATTTCCCGTGATCGTTGTGGTTTTACAACAACTCGCTGTGTTTGTCTGTTTGTATCCTGGATCTTCTCTGCAGTTTTAGTTGTACTAATTATTCTGATTATAAAACTTAATGAAAGTGTACTGAGAAAGAAAGACAATAATTTAATATCTTCGGTCGAATTTTCTAAATCACTTCCTATGGATAGTTTAATATGTTTGCCATGTAGTGAAAGTACGCGGACAATTCCTGTGAAACTTGATATTGCCTCCAATTGCAAACTGTCATTATGCTGCGAATACCACACAAGTGCATCGACGATTTCGCTTACAAAATTGGTACGTGTTTTATTTCATTTTATTTTGAAAAGATTTCTATATTTTGTTGATTTTTTTTCTTCAAAATTGTTTTATTGTTAGTTGGCAGGGCAGTCGAGAAGTATAGCAGCATTTTCTGCAAGAAATGAGTCTTCACACAAGATCGACCTTCCTTATGGTAAAAATTTGAATATACCTTGAATATACCTTGTACATGTAACAAGTATTTATATAAGTTTTATTTCCTGTGTTATGCTGCACCCACTTCGGTATATTTATTTCTTTGACCTGAAGATTTTCACAATGATTAAATTTCACTAGAAATAGCTTAATTTGTCTGGAGGAAGTAACAAACGAATGCATTGAAAGCTACATTATAAAAATTTCTTATTTAAAACTATGTCTATAAATCAGAAATTCAAAAGGCGACACACTAAAACAATCGCAAAATATGTATGAGAAAAAGGAAGAATGCTTTCAAATATTTTTTTGTTATTTGCTATTTATTTTAGTTTTGAAAAAGAAAATGAAAATCAATCTTCTTAAGGGTTGTATTTGTATTCCCGAGGTTCTATAATTTGAAAATTGATTTTATATGAGAAAAAGATTTCTTTCAAGTTCGAGATTGTTAACGTTAGCAACGATTTCATATTTCAGGAATTCAATTCATACTCATATATAATTTTTGCCTTTATTTTCTTCTTAAATCTCCTTGCAGTTCCCCACAAAGAGAAAGCACACGTAGCAGAATTCACTACAAATACTTCTCAAATTGCTGGGATGCCTTCAATTTCTTCACTGAACTTCACTGTTCCAGAGAGTGCCGTGTACAGTGTTTACTTACATTTTACATTCAAACCTGTTGTTCCCAAAATAAGCACGGATCATATTTTGATTAATATTTCTTTTAATGACGCTGATGAGCAAATTTTCTCCAAGAAACTCGTTCTTCGTGAGTCATTGCCGATTTCGGGATACGAGAACTTGGTTTTGTTTGAGCACATCTACTTGTCTGAGGGTTCATATGTTGTCCGTTTATCAGACACAATGATTGTACATAACTATGCAGCTTCTAGACTTCTGTCTGTACACCAGATATAATTTTATATGAAAAAGTACAAAGTGAACGTATATTTATATCTGAGAACAGAAACTTTTTTGTTTTAGCTGATCGTTGTTATATCACAGGACGCAATCCAATGTCTTGTACTTGTTATATAATAATAATATTTGCGTATTTTAATCGTTGAAGATCGAGCCAGCATAAATGATACTATTGGAATAACAAATCTTCCTTTAATTTGCGGTCGTAATAACACTAAAAGACTGATCCCTGACATTGGTTATGGGCGCAAGTGTCAAAGGCTTGGGGATAGAAAAAAAAAAACAACATACTGATAGAAAACACGTCCACTCAAAAATTACTAGATATTCTATATTTGTAAGTAAATAAAAAACCAGCTAATGTTTAAACCATATGACTATTTTTATGATGGCAAACTCCATGTTTTGCTCTGGGAGACCCGAAATATGTGTCAGATCAAATGGTAAAATTCGAGGTGCACAATGGTATTTTTAAAAAGAAAAACTATGAAAGTATCAATAAATTTTAATCATTGATATAGGAGAAGTTGCGGATAAGAGATGGACACCCTTCAATGTTATTGAACAAGAATGACAGTATCCTTGTTTTGATATATGGGAAACCCAAAATATGACTGGGATCAAAGAGTAAAGTAGGAGATGCACTATGTAACAAAGATTCTATGAAAGTTTCATTAAATTTCATTCAGTGGTATAAGAAGAGTTGCGGATAAGAGACAGGTACCCCAAAGCTTTACAGACAGACGGGTATACAGACAGACGGACATCCTGATAACTATATACCCTCCCACTTTTCAAGCAAGGGGTTAATTATATGAATTTTGCATATCATTATGGACTTAGATACTTAATTTTTTTATAATGCAGGATAAATGTATTTCGTAACTTTAATTATTTTATACTAAATATTTCGCATATATGTGTTTGGATAAGGCTTCCAAAGCCTACAAACTGCATTTTAAATACAATTACTTTCATTTTGAGGAGATTTTAATTTTTAAAGTATTCAGTCAAGTAACAGAATTACTTTTGCTAAATTACATACATATAAAATGGAAACATTAACAATTGGAACAGAGCAAACACGGACCTCTGAAACATTAGAGGTGGGATCAGGTGCCAGGGAGGAGTGAGAATCCCCTGCCGACCTGTCACACCGCCGTGTGCTCCTTTTAAAGGATCGAAAAATTGCGAAAACAAACCCGTGGGCAACTCATTGTGTAAATAATGGCCTAACAATCAACTTTGAAAAAAGTCAGTCAGCATTTGACTTAATGATGAAGATATTTGCTGACAAGATCATTGTATCAACCATAGAACTTGCGAAATGGTGACCTAAAACGATGTTTTAATGCTAAGTGTATTCCTATCAGAATATTACATGAACATGAGAACACCACCATTTACAGAAACGAATTCATTTAGATACCGGAAAAGAATTCAAAACAGATCTACTGAAAATTTGTGTCACCATGCTCTATTCGTGGAAACGTGAGACTTAAGAGGTTATTTGAAATAAATATTCTTAAAATTTTGTTTCCTTTAAATTTCTGCGTTACCAGTATCTCGACCTATATACAGGATATGCATTTCATTTCGTTACAAATCTCTGATCAGTTTCTAAAGAACCTGGAACATTTTTTTTTACTTCCATTACATCGCTAAATACATTAAGAATTACGAACGATGCAATTAAGGATAAAATGTTTGTAGTTGGATATGACATTTATCCCGAATTATGATATAGTTTTGTGTTATTTATTAAATTAGCCATTTTGATTCTAATTTACAGCAAATTCATCAAAAAAATATTACATGTAAAAATGACGAACTACCGGTATGTAATTCAAAGATATTCAATGTTTGTACTTGCATATGACATTTTATACCGAATTATGATATAGAATTTTTATGATTTTCAAGTCTAAAATCATCAGTTCAGCATACATAGAGATTAGTTTGTTGCTTGATAACACTTCCCTGACAGAATCTGCAGAGAAAAAAAATTTAAAAGAATTTCGAAGGATTTCAATTTCCAAGATCTTTCTTAGTACAATGTGACTTCGAGGCATTAGAATATATTTGAATCACCAAGCAATGTCTGTCAAGGTTTGCATATAATCGGTTTTAAACTATCAAAGGCGAACTGTTCATGTGTTATTTATTCACGGATCAAATTACTTGAAGTCAGTCATTAAATCTTAAACTGTGGATTCACAAAGAGCTAATTATATAAAAAAAGTTTTCACAGGGTTTTGAAATAAATTATACAGAAGAGCTAAGTAATGATAGTTGATTTGATTGGTAGGGACACAATTTCTAACCTCCATATTTCGCCAGTGGACTTCTGATGGAGGGTAATTGAAAGAACATAACAGAGAGCTGCTCAATGGGACAAAAACTGATAAAAATATCCTTGTTATACGAGTGGTTTAAATGTACCCAAGGATATTTGAAAAATTTAACTTCCTACATCTTCATAAGACTATCCTCTCTAGGGCTTTGAAAAATTTGTCGATTTGTGAAAATAGCCATCTACGCGAGGAAATCTAACAATAGAGCTAAATTATCCCTTCTGTCTTTCTCAGAGTAAGATTTCCTTTTTTAAAAATGTTAAATCAACTCGACAATCTATAAAATTATTTTACTTTCAATTCATTCGATAATGTTATTGATTTTTTTTTTTAATAAAGTATAAGTTTAAGTCAACTGATTTTTTTAAAAATATAATTGTGTTTGACTTAGAATTGTTCAAATTAAGCCCGAAGTCAAAATGTTAAGCTCAAATCATCAAGTTTCAACCCAATATTTCAACTCAGAGATCTTTGTAAAATGCGTTACCCAAAAATCGTAGCTTTAAGACTCGATGTCTCAACACTTCTCTTGACGCGTTCACGATCTTTATAATGTGTATCAGGACACTTTCAGAATCTATGCCTTTTACAAAGAGTGAGTGAGAAAATTCTAAAATGATATATTATATTCATAAGTTTCAAAGACCATTTTTGTGAGAATGAGCATTTTTGTGAGTATGGGCATTTTTGATCAATGGGAAAAGTGAAAAAATAAACAAAACAAGAATAAGAAACACAAGAAAATAAATACTGCTCAGGTTTGAATTTTTTGCGAGCTCTGAAGAATAAACGTCCCCCTTTTTGGTTATTCACTGTGGGGCAAGACATAGGGTAATTGCTGTTATATTGGATTTAAAAGCAAAAGCAATAGCTCTTTTGAAGATTTGCAAAAATTAACATTTTTTAGAAATTGACTTAATTTTTTTCTATTTAAAAACTTTTTTATATTTAAACACCAGACACTTACACAACTTTGTATTGTGTAGTTTTCACCATTGAACGAGAACCATTTTATATGTAAAATACTGATATGTTGATATAATTTGTTTTGTGCTTGAATTGGCATATAACTAATTACAAATTAACCACCCGCGGTTTATGAAATTAAATTTTGTCCTTTTGTGTTTTCAAAAGTTGTGTGTATTAATTGGCATCCTACAAAAAAAGGCCAATGTTCGCCAAAATAAAGGTTAAAACAAACATCTTGTTGTCATTTCCCTGTATAAATAACACCAAGAGGCATTGAAATATATTTGAATCACCAAGCAATGTCTGTCAAGAATTGCATATTATAGGATTTTAAATCATCAAAGACGAACTGTTCATTATTTCTTCACGGATCAAATTACTTGAAGTCAGTCATTAAAGCTTAAATCAAAAAATGTTCATTTGACTGGTAGGGACACAAAGTGATCTTCAAGTAATTGAAAGTATATAACAGGGTAAAAGAGTTGCTCAATGGGACAAAAACTGATAGAAATATCCTTGTTATACGAGTGGTTTAAATGTACCAAGGGGTATTTGAAAGATTTAACTTCCTACATCTTCATATGACTGACCTTTCTAGGTCTTCGCAAAATTTTTCGAATATGTGAAAGTAGTCATCTACGAAGGGAAATCTCAGACTAGAGCCAAATTATTTCTTCTGTTTTCCTCAGAGTAGGATTTCCTTTTTTAAATGTTAAATCAAATCGACAATCTGTAAAGTTATTAAATTTTAATTTCATTTAATAATATTATTTTATAAACTATAAGTTAAAGTCAACTGATTTATTTGTTTGAAAATATGCTTGTTTATTTCTATGAGTTCAAAAAGAAAATTATTAAACCAGAGAATTGTAAAAACGTTACCCAATAATCAGTTTCAACACCAGTGAATTTTTTTTTGTGCATTGAGAAAATTATATTGAAAAAATAAAATATTTACCCCAGGAAAAATGTTTAAACACAATACAGTATCAGTGAACAGAAATCACTGTTACTAATTTCCATGGAGAAAATACATGAAGAGAATTGTTCTAACTTTTGCATTGATTACAAATGCAAAATTTGAATTTATTGGAATTTAGATCTAATGGCAGATCACTCTTGCTGTAGAAAAATACCGTAGAATCAGAACTCTTGAGTGTGCAGTGTACAGAGGGTTCTTAAAGACATATATTGTTTGCTTGCACGAACTTTATAATGTATATCAGGACACTTTTATTGATTCAATTGTTTGCCCGCTTCAAGTCCAGTGCTATATCCATGGATTGATGCTTTTTACAAAAGATAAGTGCATGTGAAAATTCTAAAATTACATACTATTCATAGGTTTCAAAGACCATTTTTGTGATATTGAATCAATAGAATGGGAAAGATTGTAAAAAAAAGCAAAATCAAAGTCGGAAATACATCAAACACTAACAAGCCGAAGAATAAACATCCCCTTGAGCCAAGTGGTGTTTTATTGGATTTAAAAGCAATGAGAAATTACAGTTCTGTATATCTAGCTGTTTTCATAAAACTTATATGTAACATTTTTCTAAATATTTGAAATTTGGCAATACATTCGATAACTATTGCTCTGTGCGTGCAAATTTTAAATCTAATATGATATCGCTGGATCCAGAGACATATATTGTTGCTACGGCTTCTAATTAAGAGTAGTGTTTCTTTTCATGAACTTGTTTTGTTTTTTATTAAAGCTTTCTTTCAAATTTTATATGGACATTTTGACAATCATAGATATTTTCAAATTCAAAATTCTACATATCTGTTATTAAAAAGCTTAAATCTGTCACATTGATCTACTTTGACATATTATCTTAATTAGCCATGAGTGATATGACCAGATGGAAGCTTTGTGTGACTTAATTATTGTTTATAAAATCATTATCTTTAACTCTACTTGTAAATCAAATAACTCATGTAATGTATTACTCAGAATTGTCAATTATCAAACTTTAATTATCAAACTTGTCTAAAACAAATTTTTGGTTCCAATCGTCAAAAGAATAAAGGTTGCAAATCGTAAAGCGGCTTCATCTTCATTTACTAAATAATCCACCCTAGTGGCTTTACTGACAAGCACCGCACACGCATCTAACGCGAGGGTGTGATAAAACTATCTGATTATTTTAATCCATTAAAACTGTGACTTTATAACTCACAAAATATTGACAAATCAATTATACAAATTTTAGAATTTTTTCACAAACTCCTTGTAAAAAAGCAAAGAACCATGTACATAAATACTAGGCCAGTAGAAGGCAATCAGATTGTTCAATCTCTAAAGTTGGCCAGATATGGATTTTGAACTTCGTCCAAAAATAGGGTACCAATCGCAAAGAAAGGTGTTGAAACATCGAATCTAACGGGGGTTTTTTTCTTGAGTGTGAATGAGTGACTAATTTTACAACTTTCTGTAAGTGTAAATTTTGCGATAAGACAAAGTGTTGTTAGAATTTACCCGTTTATTTGAACGGTTCTTAAATCGAAAACAAGTTACCTCTCGTAAAAACTCTTCTTCAAAGTATTTTTGATATTATTTTAACTTTGATAGAATACAATCTAAGAGAGTGGGGGAAATTTGGCTGAAGTGTTAGATTTCCCTTGGGTGAGGAATTACTACTCGTATATCCTTACCCAAGAGAACAGATTACTAGAGGAGAGTTTGCTATAATCAAACATTTCTGTAGTGAGCTACATGAAAATAAAAATCTGTTGAAATTATTCTCCTGGTAGCCATTTTGATTCCAAAGTACGATACGAATTTAATTAAAAAAAAAAACAAAAACAAAAAATCAAGAGTGTTTAAATAACTATGTCACGTTTCTTTAATTCCTAATTCCTTCATTAGTCATGATTTTTTTTTGTGCAATTGCAAAATTACATATTGAAGGAAAACGTTAAATCAATCAAAGTTTATAACCAGCCCCCTGTGTATGCACGTTTATTTTGTCATTTGTTTCTATAGACGCACCACTGTTAAATAACAAATGTCCTGATGATATAAATTGTTTACTTTAAATGCTGATATAGGTCTATATATACGTAAACAAAGTGGATTCTTCCTTAGTTCATTTACATTAACTAGTTTGTGGCCTATTTTCATACGGTAAGTATAAATATATATCGCTGACAGAATTACTTCAAGTTCTTGTAAAATATTTTCTTGTAATGAGAGACGACTCTTTAAGAATAATTACATTGTGAACAAAATGTTTGTAAAGCATGTATATAGGTTTATTTTATATATTGTTTATCCCAATCTGTTTGTAATATATCTTTAGCTAGGGCTTGCCACACCTGTAAACTGTCGTCTGTAAACTGCGGTTTATACTCGAATGGATAAAGCTAAACTTTTTTGTATACCATTGTATTGTTACTTTCATTTTCGTAAATACCGTTTGGCAAGATCACTCTGTTTAATTCCATACTGATATAACCTTTAGGCGTGGCATTCAAAACTATCAGTAAATGCATAATATCTTAATACAAAGGTGAGATGTAAAGACATGTACTTCTGACACAATCATCTTCAGATACTAGTACCTTAGATTCAAATAAGGGAAATAAGTTGATGTCACAATACGGGATGGGATCGAATTCCAATCCGGGACGTGGAACCCGCATAATTTTGTGTTGAAGTATCTGCTGCGACAAAAAGGTCACACACTGTTTAATGGCCGAAAGTGCCGAATATAGCACAAAATTAGCAGCTCTCCACCAAGTGGTGGCGTTTCCATATGAGTATGAAATTCTTCAGAGGGACGTTAAATAAAAAAATAAACAATAAAAAAAAAATACGGGATCAGGGTTTTACAAGAGAATATACATCTTTAGGAAAAAAATCCTTTTCAAGGGATCACCCTATATCATAAAATTAAGTAAAACGTAGCTTAGTTGTTAAGCATTAATTTTTTAACATTAGATGTTAACAATTACATTTATGCGGTCCATAAATGTTAGATTCAAAGATGAGCACACGAGGAGATAACAATTTACAATTATATGCATGTGTCAATCTTGGGAAAGTCCATGTGTGATATATTAGACCAGTACTAGATTCTCCCCATGATGGCCTTATTTTACTTCCTAAATATTTTCATATTCCTTGGTTCTCTTTCTCTCATTAGAGGTGAGTTTTGAAATCATACCTATTTTAACATGTACATGCAATGAATTTAACTGCAATGTGCGCATTTGATATATTGTATTTTTGTAATATTGTTAGGAACTATATTTGATATCTGTATTCATGTTGCTTTGAAACAGAAGTATAGCTTTTACATGTTAGGACAAAAATAGCTCTTTTATTTTTAATTGAATTTACATATGATCCTATATTTTCTTTATTACGATCTTCAAATATCATTTAAATGAACTTTGAAATTGATTTTACGACAGGAAGTGACGAACCTTGTCAGAATCTGGCAGGCACGTGCCAGGACGACCATATGTCATGCGAGGGAACCTACATAACTGGACATTGTTCTGGGGGAACTCATCGGAGATGTTGTGTGTCTCCAAGGTCTACAGGTTTGTTCTTCCTTCATTTCCTTGATCTCACACATTGATGTTTTATTCCACGTTATATAATCATGGATTTTTGGTGTTTAAAGACATAGGAGATGGAGTGAAAATTTACTCACGTGAAAGCTGGGGAGCTAGAGAGCCAAAACACTTCCAGGTCTTTTCTAAACCAGCCAGCCTCTTTTTCATCCACCACACTGCTGGCCACTCGTGTCATGACTTCGATTCTTGTGTAACTGCCTTAAAAGGAATACAGAATTTCCACATGGACACACGAGGTATGCGTTACCTTTAATATCTCATCAATGTTTTACAGAACATAAACATACAATATGCCCTATCTATATACTGCATGCAGTTTTCATGTGGTTTAATTTCTGTCTACAGGGTGGGATGACATTGGCTATAGTTTCTTAGTTGGACAGGACGGCCAAATTTACGAGGGGCGGGGTTGGGATCACGTTGGTGCGCACACATTGCATTATAACACGCGTGGTTACGCAGCTTCCTTCATGGGCAACTACATGACGCATCCACCAAATGACGCGTCTCTGCATGCCGCACAGAAGCTTATTGAATACGGAGTAAGCAAGGGATACATTTCGTCTACATATAAACTATACGGACATCGTGATGTGGGGAGTACAGCTTGCCCCGGCGATGCTCTTTACCCAGTCATTCAAACATGGCCACATTATAGTCACATTAAGCCATGAAAAAAAAACAAAACATATTTCTGAATTAAAATTTTATTTACAAACTGTGTTCAATTATCTTCTAATCATTATGAGTACATATTAAAGTATGTACGGAATATACATTGTACCGGTATGATGATCAGTTTCTTTTAACTACGTTCACTTTGCAAAAATTAGAATATTGTGTACTTACATTATATCTGTGTTTGGAAACTGGTCTTTCAAATGAGACTGTATAAACTGATGTCCCGTGTCGAGGTAGGTGCTGACAGAAAAAAGATTCCTTACTGCTCAATGGCGTAAGTACTGAATATAGGTCGAAATTTGGCACTCTTACCGGGAATTGATACAATTCTCAAATAACTTTGAACTTTCAGTAGGTCGTGACTTTCTCGACACTACGTAATTAACATCTCTCAAAAGGCGAATAGAATCTCATTGGTTAAGAAATTATTAACATCAGCAATTTTAAATTGTTGTTGACAACATGGGAGACGACTTAAGCCCCACTTCTCTGCCGTACGAAACGATATCATTGGATCATTGACTCACTCGTTGACATTCGCCGGAATGTGTATTTCAACAGTGAATGAAAGGCTGTGTAAATTTCAGACGCTGATTATGCAACGGCTAGAATGCCACGCCTTGCTGAAAGTCCAAGGTTGACTGAGAATTGTACTATAAAAATTCTCGAAGGGACTAAGAAAGTTTAACAAATACATGTATATACATACATGTATAAATCATCTCTCTCTCCTTAAATGAAATGAATTGAAATAAAAAAAATAATATATTGACTGCGTTGTTAACCACGCGGTTTTAAGCTCGAAACAGCTGAATTATACAGGATATAAGTTATTTAGTATGCGTTTGACTTTTCTTTGAGCGTTGTTATTTCATATACTTAGAAAATATGACCAAATGTCCTTGGATAGTTCTATAGTCAATGTGCTGTTCAACGAGAGAAACCCTTGAGTAAACTCCAAGTTTCAACTAAAATGTGAGATCACCAAAAGGAAACATCAGGGGTGGGATTAGGAGCCATAAGGAGTAAACATCTCCCACAAAACCAGTCAGACTCATCGGTTTTTCCCTTCTCATGATCGGGTAATTGACAATTCAGCATAAAAATAATGTCCAAACACTTTGTATGAAAGTCTACATACGACCGTCGTGAAAGTGTTTCAAAAGATAACATCGACTATAGCATTAGATATGGTGATTTATACGAGACTGTGATATGTTTGTCTCATCAAATCGTTCTCAGCTGCCTGCCTCTCTATAGAAATTCTTTTTATAATGGTCATTCTCTTCTCTATCGAATCAACTGAAGGTGAAAACACAAAATCCACATGCAGGTGAAAAAATGGTATATTGCTACAAAAATAAGGGAAGTTAAAAATTTTAAAAAATGAAGTCATCTGGATTTGTGTATATATAATTAATGTTAGTTGTTGTTTTCTCATCACTGTTTTCTCTGGTAAAGCATAAAACTGTTACAGTATCATAATGTGCATTGTGTGTTATTAGTATTATAAATGGACATCCTTTTTTTCTCGAAAAATGATTCAGTTAAATAGTTTTACTTTGATGCCAATTGGAGCAACCTTAGTTCAGGGACAATTTTCAAAAATAAGAGAGAAAACCACTTATATTGGCTACATTACGAGGAAAGGGAACATAAATTTGACAAGATAAGTGATTAAAGCACCAACAAGTACATCAATACATGTATAGTTACAATACTGCATTTATATCTTTCTACAAGTCTTATCTAAAATATCGTGATAAACCATGAACGTGTATATACTACTTAACACGTTCCTGATCTAATTTCAAGATCGTGGACGCAGAAAGGGCAGCATGCTGATTGTTTTGATTTGCACCATAACACTGTTTGTTCCAGCTTTAGGTTGTATTAATTACTTTAAGTAAAAATCTTTGATTTATGCAATTTCTTTTTTCAATGTTATCAATAGGGGACAATCAATTTAAAAGTTTATGAGGAATTCAAATTGAGTTGGTCAGCTGCTGTTGATTAAACCAATTCTCTCTTTTTTAAATCCACAGGAAGTGACGCACCTTGTCACAACATCGGGGGTACCTGCCAGGATGACCACCTTCATTGTTCCGGAAGTTACCATACCGGGTTGTGTTCCGGCGGAACGCATCGACGATGCTGTTCCCATTCCTCGGCAGCAGGTGCAATTATAGTATTTCCATGCAATTAATGAGTGGATTAATAATTAATAAGTAAATATGTAGCAAAATCCATATTTTTAAGTATTTCTCGAGGTTGGTTTGTTGTCTGGTCTTATTTAGTGATAATGGTTGATTAGTTATTAAGTGCCGAACATATTTATAGTTAACTATCACAGTTTAATTCTGTATATAGGTACCGACAGTGGGATGTGTTCTCATGTCAAAGTTTACTCACGTGCCAGCTGGGGAGCCAGAGCCCCAAAGCACGTGACTACAATGCACACTCCCGCCAGTCTCTTCTTCGTGCACCACACGGAAGGAAATTTCTGTCACGATTTTGCTTCCTGTGCAACACAGATGCGCGGCATCCAAAACTATCATATGGACTCGAGAGGTAAATCTCATTGAATTGCTAGTATATTGTTATAATTTCCACATGTAAGCCTGTTAGATATATTTAATGATGCTTTCACAGATTTTTTTTTATTTATTATACTATACAACCATTCACCTTCTACAAGAATTTTGCTTTTTGATCTGACACTTATTTCGCGTCACCTAGAGCAAAATATGGACCTTATATGGAAGGTGTAGGCATCATTTAGTGAGCTCGGTACTTAAAGAACCTCAAGTTAATTTAATTTTTTCTTTATTATGGTGTCACTATCAAGATAAATATCGATAGAAATTTAATAATAGGACTTATTTTACTTACTTAATTCACATTGTGTGGACATAAGCACAAAATGATGATTAAAAAAATAATAGGCCATAGAAAGATATATTCAGAGAACTTCTTAAAACAATATTGGTTGATTTTTTTTATTGTTTGACGCCATACGAACACATCGTGTCATTCCTGGGCAGTATTATATTTTTGGCCATTTAATTATCTCCTTTCGACAGATTCTTTGAGAAAAATATGCACTAGTCTGTTATTGTTATTTTTCTATATAATTTGAATGTTTTAAAAAAGAAATAATATAACAAACTAAAAGATTACAACCAAAATTTTCAGTTGAGTCAATGTGTTATTTAAAGGTTGGTCAGATATCGGCTACAGCTTCCTTGTGGGTGAAGATGGCGCCGTGTATGAGGGTCGAGGCTGGCATCACGTGGGAGCACACACACAGGGTTACAACAGCCGAGGGTTCGCCGCCTCCGTCATGGGAAGTTTTATGCACCGAAAACCCAACGACGCTGCACTAAACGCTATCAAGAATCTGATTCAGTGCGGGATTGATCACGGTTACATCACTTCCGGTTATAGTCTTTACGGACATCGTGATGTGGGATCCACCGATTGTCCAGGAGATGCTCTGTACAGTGAAATCAGGACGTGGCCACATTACAGCACACACCATCCTTAAACTTGGCAGACTCTTAAACTTAACCACCTGACTCCGATAACTATAATAGAACAAGCCTTGCTATCTTTTGTAATAAAAATCTAACTGCGTGCAATGTTTTTGTTATATTGTCATCATGCCTTAAGGAGGTTCGATTTTAAGCTTTTCAGTAGATATTAAACTGGAGCTTTATTTCTGAAATTCGGGATCATGTTTAACTTCTTATATTTAATTTGGATTTTGAAATGCAAAATTTAACAAAACTCAGTTAAAACCTCACAATCTTATTCTATATAAAAAAGACATTTAGCGAGGAACTTTATTTTATGGCGGATAAATTCTTTTTTTTTTGAAAGATGTACAGTTTGAATTTTTATTTTCTTTGCAAGAAACAACCCAGGTTATTGTGTGTAATAAAATGTTTTATGTTTATCCGGCTGAAATATTTGTTATCAAAATAAAATTTATTTATTCTTTCAGTATATTGTAACAAAAATATTGAGACATTAAATTCTTACTTTAAAATGTTAATAATTACATTTTGAGAAATAATGATCAGTGATTTTATAACATAAGCACGTACATTTTTCTGTATTCGATAAACATATGATTAAACATACATTTTCAACATCGAATTCTGATTCAAAATAATGACAAAAGCTTTAAAATATATAAAATGAATTAACTACCACCGTGTTGACATTAAATTATTTCTTCCCCTAAGCTGTTGCTGATATACATGTACATTATCTTTGAGGCGTGTTTGCTCCGTCGTAGTCGATAGGAGGGTCAAAAGGCTAGAAAACAATTATAAAAGTGTACGTACGTTTCTGCTTATTTTTGCATGACCATTATTCTGATTCCTTCATTTGCATGATATGCACTTTCTTTATTATGAAATAATATTATGTTTATTTTTAATATTTATGTTGTGTTTACCATAAAATGGATATAGTACGCGGTATTTTTCCGTACTAGTTTTTATACAGCTGATAAAAATTGTATTTAAGGCGAGCAGTGAGGGACATTACTAGACGTTTCCTATTGCCACAAACTGGCAATGCTTAAATGAAAACTTTTTGAAAGAATGCTAAAATTAATTAACATCTTGTTGAGATAAATTCCTTGTATGTTTAGAAACTAATATGGCTACCGGAAGTGAATCCATAGTTCCAGAGAAGGAACTTCACAGCTTTGTAGTACGTTGTATGGAAGCTGTTGGTGCAAACTCAGAACATGCTAGCGTGTTGGCGGATCTTATTGTGGCGGCAGACACAAGAGGGCACTATAGTCACGGACTAAATAGATTAGGTAAATTATAATGTCTTCAAATCTACTAGATTGAATTTTAAAGATAATTAATGGTATTCAAGCTCGGAACTCCATAATAACAGTACAAATTAGGAGTAGATCGAACACAGACCTCTACAAACATCAATGGTGGGATCAGGTGCCATGAATAAGCATCCCCTGTGGGACGGGAACATACAGCAGATAGCCTTAGTCATTATATTAGACAAACTGAAAACAGTAGACAAATCTGTGTAGTGACCTTAAATGTAAAAAAAAAATCATTAAACATTCTATTTAACAAAAGATAAAATTTGCTAAGAAGTTCATTGTATCAAAACATTGGCAACATTTCGATAAACCAAAAAATCTATACATTCTTGTTTAAAATCATTATTTTGTTTGTTTAACGGTCGACGAAATGACCTCTTTAGCAAAAACAATTTATCGTTTGGTCAAATGCTGACTGTCGATTTTCAGGAGAATTGTTAGGCCATTATATTATACACACTGAATTGTCGACGGATTTTCCCGTTATTTCCTGATTATGACAAGGAGCACACAGCGGGTGTGACCAGTCGACAGGGTATGCTCATTTCGCCATGGCAACCGATGCCACCTTTGACTTTTCAATGAACTTTGAACGTGAATACTATCCGTTATATCAATATTTCATTTAGGTAAATGTAACTGCTCAGAAATCCTGTTATGTATTCGTGTTGTACAAATTTTCTTGTGAGCAATAAAAAAAATGGTCACTATAAGACCAACATAGTGTTTGTTTCTAGACTCTTTTTGTATGTGTCACATGTGAAATCTAATTATTGATATAACTTCAACATCGATGAAAGAAGTTTAACTCATGAAATGATACGTCACACCTTTTACATTTTATCTTAAAATACATTCAAACTAAGTTCCATCGTTCTCCCCAAACTTTCTGCCTTGAAAGGAACCTTCGAATTCAACTAGTTCATTGGCACGACAATAAAAGTCTACTGGTATTTTCAAACTTTCCAAAAAGGATCGGCTATCTGGACAGTACTTCAACATTATTTATTAAGTTCCATTGGTCGCTTTTAATGTAAACGTAATAAATAAATAATAGATAAAGTTCACGTTCAAAATCATTCAACATCGGTCATATTTGGAAAAAAACACTGGAAAAACAGTTACTCCCTCCCTCATGTGCTTGACAGCTTTGTAGAGATTTACATAGAGTTCGCAAAATCATGTCGTTACTTGTTTGAAGTTTACGGAGAAATTGTATTGTCCTTGAAATCAATTTAAAAAAAAAATGTTATAGCTTGGAATATAGGAAAACTTAAATTCGATTAGTAATATTTTTCGTCTTTTTAATGCAGATATGTATGTCAACTCTATTGAAACGAACACGACGTCCCATGGTAAAGGAATAGAACCTCAGATTGTCAAAGAAACGGTAGCCACAGCTTTAGTAGAAGGGAACAACATTCTTGGTAAAATTTGAAATGTCATGCAATAATATAATTGCAATACTTTGTCCCGAATTGTTTTATCGTTACAGTATGTTCTTTATCACTGTCGATGTTCAACTACCTTGTAGGTCCAGCGGTCGGAAAGTTTGCTATAGACTTAGCTATAAAGAAAGCCAAAGAGGCAGGCATAGGTTTTGTGACAGTTAAAGGTTTGAATGATGTTTATTGCAGCCATGAATATGTGTTTCAACCATCATGATGCGCTTCATATTGCAAATTTGATTACTTTTTTGCCTGTTTAACAGTGATTGCACGGACTTCTTTTATCTTTGCAGGTTCAAATCATTTTGGAATAGCTGGATGGTATGGCATGAGAGCTATGGAACAGGGATTGATTGTAAAATTATTTGGACTTCCTTTCATGATACATCCATTATCTATGAGCAATATATGAAATCTATCTGTACATTTCTTTTTTAGGGAATGGCTTTCACGAATACATCACCACTGTTAGTTCCGACAAGGGCTAAAAAGGTGACTTAATTGAATAAGATATTTTAATTAATTAAGAAATCGAAAATAAAGGAAATCTAACTCACTGACATCTTGGTCTAAAAGGTACTTTATTTTCATATCTTGTAAAATGAAAGTTTTTAACTTTATTGTGTGTAAGTCCAATTTTAATTTAAATATATATCATATTTTACAGGTGACCCTAGGAACAAACCCAATATGTGTGGCTGCCCCAGCCAAGGATGGTGATAATTTTGTACTCGACATGGCAACCACAAGTGTGGCATTAGGAAAGGTAAAGAATTTATAAATTTTATTTCTTTTTTTTTTTTTTTATTAATTTTACACTGTACATTAAAATACTGAAAGTAAAGGGTAAGTTTTTGATTTACAAAACTTTTCTTTTCACTCATTGCATTTATATTTTTTGTTTGAATTGATATTCAGATAGAGTTACAAGAAAGGAAGGGAGAATCAATGCCGAATGGCTGGGCTATTGATAAAGAAGGAAAGGTAAGACTCTCTGATGGAAGCATGGGATGGTAAGGTAAAATAAATATCTTATGAATGCTGTAATATGTAACTTATAAGAAATCGTTTTCCTTAAAACATCTGTTTAATTTTTTGAAGGAAATGCACAAGAATTATTCGTGTTGAATTTCAGGAAACAAATGACCCCTCAGCTTATGCAGGTCTCCTTCCGCTCGGAGGATCTGAGGAGAGCAGTACGTAACTATATAGAGCAGTATTCGTACAGAACAATTAAAGTACAACAGCTTATTTTTTGGCAAATTCAAACTCTTTTACATTCATGTTGTTCAGCTAGAAGAAATATGTTGTAGGTGGCTATAAGGGTTATGGTCTGGCAATGATGGTAGAAGTGCTGTGCGGAATTTTAAGTGGAGCAAATTTCGGACCAAATCTTCGTACATGGAAAGATTTTGAGAAAGTTGCAAATCTCGTAAGCTTATTAAGACACCTGATTTTTTTTTAAACAGGCTCAAGTGATAGGAGTCAAATGTACAGTAAAAAGAAAGTTAAGTTTTCTTGTAATTTTATAGTATTTTTAATATGAATTTGTTAAAAGGCTTTTTATTTCCGTTTATAGGGCCAATGTTTTATTGCAATTGATCCTAGTGCATTTGCTGAGGGATTCGCCGAAAGAATGAGCGAATTAATGGAATATTGTAGACGTCTTGAACCGGTAAGGGTTAAATTCTGTAGTTCTTTTAATATTAATTTTGATTTTGAGAAGTAAAATCCTTATTCTCAAATTGACTGATCACTTTTTATGTATTCTAATGAGAATATTTTATCTTATATGTGAAAAAAAAGTCATTAAAATAATATATTGGTTTTAAGGCAGAAAAGGAACTTCCGGTAAAGGTGGCTGGTGACCCTGAAAGATTCCATATTGATCTTTGTAAACAACATGGAGGAATTCCCTATCATCAGAATCAAATAACGTTTGCGGTATTTTCAATTTAAATAAATCAGTTGCTAAATGTTAAATACTTCCGCAAAATATATTCCCAGTTCTGTAAAAAAAATTTACATAATGGCTAAATTTTTACCACCTAAATGATAAATTTTTAGAAAGTTGGAAAATGTTTTACCGAGAGGATATAATCATATCTAGTTGATATCTATTTGGAAAGTTAAGATGATGCAATTTTTTTGATTAATATGTTCCTTTAATATATCCATTATATGTGTTTCAAATTTGATGGTGTCTTTGAAGGAAGAACTTCGATTAAAAAATTTGTTTTCAGAATGATTTAGCCAAAAGACTCAAAGTGAAGCCCATGATGACAAAAGATCAAACCCTGAAATGACGTGAACGCTAATAATACAAAAATCTTTTCTTATTACTCTCTAATCATGTATTCTAAAGCTCATATACATTTATAATAAAAGAATGAATTCTTTCTAATGTTCTCCTTAATTTTTGTAGTCCTATTACATGTACGTTGATTGAAAGGAGAGTTGTTCTAATGTTAATACTTTGATCATTCTATAAAACAGATTAATATATCAAAATACATCAATGAACCATGTCTGATTCCAATGAGAAACTGAGAAAAATAGCAAATTAAATGCATAGATATTTACGTGTTCACATTCATTTTCTCAAAGTTTTCCAAATAAGAGATTTTTATAGTTAGAAAGTAATTCGAAGGAAGAAAGTAAGGAAAATATTTATGTAAACTCAGTCGTAATGTTCTCTCTTTCCCCCCTCTCTCTCCCTTTCCCACTCTCAAACTTTTAACAAAATTATTTAAAAAAAAACGAAGACTTCTCTTTAGTCTTGAGGCATTCAAAATGGTTTATACTCATTTGAAGAGCGTTTAGTTTCACAATAAATATATAGTGGTAAAAAAGAGTCCAATGATGAAAAATCCTAACTACCTCTTTTTCATCGGTAACTTTACGATTGTGTTAGTCTTAACTTAAATTTAATCAGTTTTGATAATTTACACACAATTAAAATGAGTGAAACAAAATGAAAAGCAAAGTATAGGTATCTTAAAATAGATAAACCATGCTATTTTCAATGAAAGAAGTACTTTATAAAAACAACCTATACTTACAAACATTTATGTATAAGTACCTGTATGGCCATAATCA